AGCACGGAAGCGCATGCACAAACCTCGCGCATTGGTGTCGAGTCAATGGAGCGCAATTTGCATCAGAAGTGCAGTGGCAGGCTGCGATGCGCCCGCACCGCCTCGCCTGCCGCCTTGACCGCGCTACTCAGCCGGCACCAACACTACACCGATCGTACCACGCTTTACCATAATGAACAATCATTAGTCCGAATAAAACCTAAATATGCATTATACCTACGTTGTTCCGAAAATTGTTAGCTACAAAATAAACACAATCTCTTTTTTAAAACCGACTTAAAAACGCAAAAGCGGAGGTTCTCAATTCGTCTTATTTTGTTGTATGTTTATTACGCAATATCTCCGTTAATCGTTAATTGTTCACAAGTTTATTTGTAATCGACAAGGTATACTCCTGAGGTGGTCCCATTGCCACAAAATCAGGATCTGATGATGGGATTTTAGAGAAATCGAGGGAAACCCTCAAATTTTACAGTCTCGACGTTTTAGCTTTTTTCTCTAGCTACACAGGTATTTGAGTTTGTTAGTCTCATGTTGCTGAACAATATAAAATAATATTGGAAGCATGGAATAACCAAGATTCGATGGCCGGCTCGATTAGCAGTGCTTTTCTCTAAGGAAACAGCCTTGCGTACAGCGCTGGCACTGCGTCGAACTTAAAACAAAGTTCGTTGGAAGTTCGACGCTGTGGCAGCGCTTGTCTACGGAAGCGGCATGCGCGTTGGCCGGAACTTCCCGTGGATTTGGAGGCGGAAGAATTTGAAGGCGCCGCCCGCCGATATACATCGGCCCTCGACGGAAGAAGCACGCGATTGGCGTGAGACCGCTCGCCGAGCCACGATGGCTCGTTGGTCGTGCCGGTTGGGGGCTACACATGCTGGCTTTGCCGCCGTGGAGGCGTCCCAACCAGTCATCGTCAAGTAGTCAGGGCGGCAGTACGGGACCCTTTCCTTCCGGCTGACGCTTTCCGAGCATGGCTGCTTCGGGAAGTACCTGCACTCGGTCGCTAGGACAGATGTGAGTCCCGCCTGTCACCACTGCGATTGCAGTGAGGACTCGGCTCAGCATACGCTGGCGATTTGCCGGGCCTGGGCGTCGCAGCGTCGGGCCCTCATTACAGTTATTGGAGGGGATCTCTCACTACCGACCGTCATACGCTCCATGGCCGATAGTGACAGGCCGTTGTTATTTTACCGCATTCGCATCCTTCTGCGAAGACGTCATCTCGCAAAAGGCAGCTGCGGAGAGGGCCTGGGAGGATGACCTCCACTGGGACCAAATTCGACGCCGGCGAACCGGGCGGCGTAGGCGCGCTTACCAGCGACTCATGCCGCCCTGAGTGTGGCTGCGGGTGGACAGGACGGGTTTTCTCCTCCATCCGCTATAGTGGCCCACCGCAAGGAGGCGACGTCCACGTGTGCTGGACATCGCCTAAATAGAGAGTTTACCCAAAGGTGCGGGCAGGCGCTGGGAGGAGTTCGAATCACTCCTATCTCAAGCTCGAAGTGGCTCGAAGAGGGGGTTTCCACACGTTTAAAAAAAAGCGCTGTACGCAAGGCTGTTTCCTTAGAGACTAGCACTGCAGAACGGTACCATCAGGCTACCCGTCTGCTCGTTCACCCTCCTGTACCAACTAACCATCATACAGCTGTACCAACTAACCATCATACATCATAAAAATGTAAATATTGTAAGTGTTATTACGTGTGAATACATGGTGAGAGATGACTTTGTCGAAGCAGTTTTTTAATGCAGACACTAATCCCATATGATGTTCAATCATTAAAGAACAATAAAGCTGATTGCTACTGATATTGATGACACCGACTAAAGTGATTAAAGTTAAACTTACATACATACATACATACGCGATGTCCTGGCGTACATTTGCAGGAACATCGTGTTATTTTCAATACTTACCTTTGAAATGATAAACGGCTAACCGAATTAAAAAGTAAAAAAGTTACTTTATCTGCCTTATACCGTTATCAGACCATCGTTACTAAACCCATTCTTTGGATGACTATCAAAATAAACCAAATGATTTATTATAGCCTTAAAACTACATAAGACACGAAGTTTCATTTCCATATAGACACAATAAGTAGGTTAAACTTCCAAAATTTGTTTTCATAAATAGGTTACAAATGAAGTTAATAAAAGTTTATTAAATTAAGTTTTGCATTATTATCATCGTCTTTAAATCCTAAAATATACAAAAAAAAAGTAGCTTAACGGTTTTTATTGTGATAAAAAAGAAGAAGGTACAGTATAGGTACACTAAATAAAAGTATTGGTACCAAGTATCGGACTTCGAATTCTTATTGTGAATCGTAGATTTTTTCAAAAACTCGGCCACATACACAAGATTGTATATTTACAACATAATCAATTCTTGTAGGTATAATATCAAATTGAGTACATCTAACTAACTAGTTTGTTAAAGTAACCGACTGCAGTAAACCGCGTGACCTTCACCTTTTATTAATTATGTTCGTAGACCTATAAGGAAGAAAAAATACAACGAATACGTTCACTGTATTGCTTTAAATCAAGTTGCAAGATAACTAAAATAAAATTTGCTTTTATTGTTAAAATATAAACCGGACGCTTACGATGAAGTCGGCCACTACTTGTGCGTAAGTGGACCAAGTTTCATACGCAAAACAATACTCTTTTTATTAGGATCGCACAGTGAGTCAAAACGATTTCATGAAAAAAAATATTAATCATAAAAAACAAATATCTAATCATTGCTAGTAAATATTTTTATCGTTATCGTATGATATTTTTTTAAACCTTGGTTATGTTTAAAAGGAATGCGTACACAAGTAACAAAACATGAATAAGTAGACTGTTCGCTAAAGCTAACGTGAATAAAAACTACTACTCTGCAGGGTCGGATCAATCGCCATGCTATATCTTATAAAAACTGCGTGCATATACTAGCGCTCATCCTAACATGCATACTAAACACATCCTTTGAAGCTGGATACTCGCCACAAGAGAAAACATGCCATTGCGACCATAGAGAATAAAAAGGAAGACAAGATGCAGCCTGGAAATTTCCATCCCATTGGCCAGTGTGGTTGTGAAGATAGTGCAAAAAGTTATATCAGATAGATTGACCCTAGTCTTTAGACCGAGAGGGCATTATTTCAACCAAACAGCACGGATTCGTCGAAAAGAGGTCAACAATCACGAATCTGCTAACATGTGGACAATACTTGACCAAAGAACTCGACAGCTGTAAATGACATCAATGTGTAAACTCGACACATTGATGTCATCAACCTGGACTTCAAGCGTGCGTTTGACGAGGTTCCTCACAAACGACTCCTCAGCAAATTGAAACATTTTGGGATACATGATCTTTGCTCGGATGGATAAAGATTTATTTGGAAGGTAGAACATTAAAGGTTTATGTGGGTGGTTAACTATCAAAGCAGAGACCCGCTGCCAGTGGAGTGCCCCAGGGCTCATTACAACTCATTAAAAGAGGACGTTGTTTCTGCCATTGCTATTAACTCATTTAAACAAACTCGATAACTGGCTACGATTGGAGAATACAGTGCTCAAAAAAGTACTACATTTATCGCTAGATTTAAACATATCAACTTGTAGCTGCTAGTTCATAATCAAATAAATAAATAAAAACTTTAAAATTAACGACCTCTATTTCATTTGTACATTTTCCCCACTGCAAAGTGTTTTTCATAAATAATTGAATATTTAAAAAACTTAAACCAAAAAAATAAACACAATCTTTATGTATCATGGGAAAATGAGTTCATCATTATTGTTTACGTGTTTATTCACTTTCCCAACGCAAAAACTGTATTGTTCACAAGATTTTCCGTATGATAAAACTTCTCAATAGAAAACAAATCAATAAAAAATATCTATAAATAAAATCTTCAGCTTTGTTTTACGTTCGTATAAAATAACTATAATATACAGATTCCTGCGGAAACAAACAAAGAGCAACCAAATAAACGAGTAAATGAATTACCTAAAGCCGCATTTAAATACGTTTAATAAATTGAATATATTTTTTAAATGTCTACAACATCAACAAAAATATAATTCCGTGACTTACAGAAATCAACCTTCTCCTATTTTTGTACATTTAGAGCTCGATTCCTTTTTTTTAAGTTAAATGGCACCAACTGTAAAGAAATTGTAACTCAAATCTGTTGAAAAAAACGTACCAAACTTAACAAAAAACTTCTCCTTTCGTTGTTTTAATAGCTCAAAGTGAAACGATTGCAAAATAACCTAAATAAATAAATAGTACACTATTATGTGACCATGACATTGCATACAATAATATTGAAAAAAATCAAGATCAAGAATCAAGGAAATGCATTCGGCTGAGAGTAAAACAATCTTTAAAATTAATCTCGTATTTTTTAAACTAAAGGTTAAGTATTTATATCATTCGCTTAGAGTTAATTGATTTAACATAAAAATAAGCATTATGACAAATGACAAAAAAAATGTTTAGCGTTAAGATAACTGCATTTAATCGGACCTGAATGCAAACTGCTAAGTTTGACTAAACTATTAACTACTTGTTGTATACTTACTAAAACAATTCGTCTAAAATTGCAAGCCTTGTGTTAGAAGTAACATTAATTTACTACTTACTATCCGCTGTAAAATTACTAACGTTATCTCATTAATAAAGCTCATCTCAGTTGTTGTTTCAAGCACACCGTCTGATACTGTTCAGTTCATGGTATGGACAAGCGCGCTCACCTCGGCGAATGTGGAAAGCTGATCTGCGCCTATAAATCCACCTCTCGCGTGACCACTCCACCATTGTCTCTTAGGTCGTCCTCATAACTGCAGGTGCCTCCCCTTTTTCCACAATACGTTCTCAGCATTGTCTTCATGTCAGTTTTTAAACAACTCATCGTAAAAACGGTTTCACCTTTGTATTACATTCTTCATTGTTAGTTGTTACTTTCATTAAAAGACAGTGTTTATGGTGTAAAATGAACGCGCAACAGTTTCGGGAATTTGGCACGGCCGTAATCGACCTGTTAGCCGATTATGTCGAAAACATACGAGACCGGTAAGTTTATTTTAATAAAAGTTCAGATATCAGTGTAAATATTTATAGGTAATACTGAAAATGTAAATAAATTTGAATTGATCGTCTTCATCGCTTTCATTCAGGCTTATTTCAATTTTTTAATTACAAAATAGTAACTGTATTTATTATACTTCGTGTTTACTCCATTACGTAGATGATGTACCTACATAATGTTACAGTGTGGTATAGAATACTAAGTATACAGTGATTTTCTTTTGTATAATATATTTAATACCCATCTCTTAGTTTATATTTTACACCAAAGAATGTAAATCTTTTACAAAAGTTGTTGAAAATAACAAAATAGAAAGATAAATTGAGATATTTTTTGTTTTAATTGAAAGGTGTACTAGAAAGAAATGTTACGGTTAAAGACATTTATTTTTCCCAAAAGATTACAATTAATCACTTGCAGACAAAATACAATACTAAACAAAAATATATTACTTAAATGTTAAGTATTTTTTCCGTGCAAAATTAACACGCAATACCTAAATTAATTACTCTCTTAAAAAAATCCACGTGAAAGTTCCACTGAATACTTCGTAACTGTTACGGTTGAATTTAACTCCTACAAATAAAATGACATCAATATGCCTAAACTTCGTTTACTCTATCGTATTTGAAAGGCAGTTAATGGTAAACATGCTATTTTAAACTATATTTACCTATTTACTGCTTAGATATTTAGTTAATACTCGTATTAAATCGTTCAAGCAGAAAGTATATATATAATGGTACTACACATTGTTACAATACTTAACACTAGGTGGCCTCGTCAGTTAGGTTCTAGTTAGTTCTATAAAGGCTGTTGTAATGAATATGATGCATTTGCATTTGAATGCTTTGGTAGCGTCCACTTTGTGACAAATTTGTACAGGTTTAAATAGAACTACTACAGTTTACTATCCTTTTCTATTGTTTGTCAAGCAAATTTCTTTGTTTTTTGTTTAGTCGCTATTGAAGAGCTCGACTGTTAATAACAGGACGCCGCCGATGGAGTTATAACAATTTAATGATTAATGATGAATTCCATCCTCTGGTCGGGCGGCCCGACTACTATTTCTAGCTGTAAAGTCCGACTTGTAAAAATATTTGAAAACATTTACTTACAGAAATAAATATAATCCTCTGATCGTTTTTTTTTAAATTTAATATAAATAAATTGAAGACTGCACAAAATAATTATGTTTACTACTTCAATCTCCTTTTAAACGAGGTGCAAAAGTTTAAAAGTCTTTACTACCTACTAAGTAATTTAAGAACTTATCAATTTTTGTCAAAACTTCAGAGAGTGCTTTATCCCGTTTATAATAACTTATAAAGCGAAAATGATTGTGGTAGTTTGAATCAATACATTCAGAGAGTGCGTTTTACTTTACCTGCCGACTCAAATACTTGTCAGCTAACTGCAACATAGATTAACTTAGTGGGTAGGGTGAAATATATTAAAACTTCTCTATAGTGACGTTTCATTTAATAAAGGCACTTAGTGATATTTGAACAAATAACATTATTAGATTATTGTTATAACAATATGTTTATAGATTTGTGTAACAAAAAATATTATTGCAATTTTAAATAGAAATTTAAAGTATAATTTTTTTATGTCATGGTTTTCTTTTTAAAACTTTTTTTGCCTTTACCAACAATTATTTTACAAGTCTCATTTCCATTAAGCTTATAATTGATCTCATTTTCATAACCGGGCTGGTTACTTTGTTTGATTAGTAAGTGTATTTGATTCGTTTATCTATTTTCAAAAAATAACGTATTTTAATTACTGAAAGGCTGTATAAAAAGTCAGCTCGTATGTAGGTTAATCGAACGTGTTTTGTATAGAGTATAAATCATATAAGGCATGTAGCTATGACACTTACAACGTCTAGTCTTCAACATGATCCTTCGATTACTTGCTATATTTTGCTATATGTTTAAAAAGCTAGTGTAGACTCGATTCCTTACAGTGTTTTAATCGTTTTGTTTTAAAATAAAGTACCCTTTGTCACTTGTTAAAGCATTTAGCCTTTCATAAGTTTATTCTTGCTGGTAATAAATATTCTCTCAACATATTAGCGACTAATTACTAGTTAAACCTGTAATCAAAACAATAGGCACTCATCATCAGATGCAAATCACATCGGCAAATCATTAAATCATAGACACGAAACATTCCACTCATTAAAGTGTTATTAAATTAATTATGTTATAAAAACAATAGACTCCGTCACCATTGTTTGACTATTACCTGTGCGTAAAGGCTCCTGGAACTGTTGAATACTATTAGTTGTGATATAATAATAACATGACACATTTCACACACTGTTCTGATCCCGAATATACCTAGTAAGTGTAAGTATAATATGTTTACAAATTTCTAAATACCTATATATTTTGTAAATATGTTTATCAGCAGTCTGGTTGGCACAACACAGGTTCTGACTGATTAGGGATTAGACAGCCGTGTGTCGTCGTCTCAAGTGTTCATCATACTCGTACATAATTATTAGTCCTGGGTGGGAATTAAACCCACGACTTTCAGACTAATCTTGATCCTAGAATCACTAACCACTAAACCAACAGGTCCATTCATTTATACCCAAATTAAGCGATGTTGACAACAAAATACAAACAACATAAATAACACTTTAATTTTATTTGACGTGTTGCTGACTCATACGACCTCCTACTAACATGGACAGCGGACATGTTGCACGTTTGGATATACAGTACAAAGTACACTGTCCAGTAGGGTGTCCCGTCAATGTATGGGTTTTTTTTTTTAAAGCGACGGCTACGCAAGAGGTATCAAAAGTTGCATTTTTGTGAATAGATTACAAATGTAACAAAATTTAATTAAATATTTGTCATCTTTAGGCCTCTACCGATCCTAGAAGTTTTTCAAATTTGCCATTTTTAGAGGTTTCGAACATAAACTATAAATGATACAAAAATGATGTTTTAAAGGTTTTAATCAAATTTATAGGTACTACAAAGACATAAGGTAATGTTCAGTAAAGTTTAAATACTTATAATTAGTGCTTATTTCAAATACGAAATTGGTTCTTGTGGCCAAAATTAGGCATTTCCGGGCGAGATTTTTATCTGTTTCTGATTAAACCATCCCGAGCTGTAGCGTCCGTGAAACTTAGAGAAGCCTCCGTCACTAGCTTTACACATCTTGCCACTGATTGTGTATGACAGGGGAAATCAATAACATCGAAGCTTTGTTCTTTAGCCTTAATTCTCAGTTCGTCGTCGGACATCTGTCACAAAATCAGTGAAGCGGATATCTCACACTCTTGCCAAAATATCAAATCGATGTAATATCGCGCATCGAAGTTAAGTTTTGGTACTTTAAATACCCTGCGAGTATTGCTTATTTCTGCTTCTCTTGCCTTTAATATTTTGCGAGCTGCAAGCTCTCGAATATGCTCTCTGTCGTCGAATAGCATGGTAACAAGTAAGTTTTCAGGGTAAGCAAAAAAAGCGTTTCTCTCGATCACTGAATTCACAATAGATCTTTGCTTATCGGGCAAAAATCGGGAGTATGTAACCATTTGAAAAATATGATTGGCTCCATCTTTGAATGATGAGTATTTCTTAATGAGGAACCAAACTGGAGCATAAACTTTGACCACATAATTGACAAGCAGCTTTAAATTATTTGATGGCGAAACAGTACTCACATAAAGTTGAGTATGCGATTGGCAGTAGTTAGCCATCTTGAATGCGCCATTTTTCCAGGTTGGCGGCTCGCTAACTCAGGGGAACAAGAACCAGTCGTCACAGCATGACACATTTCATACAGATACTTTTGATCCGTACTTAGTTCCTTCACAATGTCATCAGGTAATTCGAGCAAATTGCCAGCCACTGCACAAAAAGACACTAGTGGTTTACTTTCACAAACATTTAGCTGTTTTCCAATAGGTCCTGAGTATTCTTTCGGCCCAGATGTGCTACCATCTAGAGACATAAACAAATGGCGAAGCGGTAATTCATTTGTGTGAAGCATACAAACACACCATTGTAACGGTCTCCTCAAATAGTCTTCCAGGTATTTAATGACACCTCCTTTCCAACCTGTATTTGTAGGAGTGCCATCGCAACCCACACAACTTACTTCTAAGTTCCATCCTTGATTTTCTAACAATTCTATAATAGAAGTGACAATCCCTTTCGCAGTACCTCGACTCGGCGTCATATGTCCCAAGTAAATAGATCCCGGCTCTCTAAGAACTGAAATGTGTTCTTCTAAGACTTCTTTTCGGTGGTACCGGCTGTCTATTTTATTGATCTTGAGAGTTTTATCTTTTCGCCCATCGAAGTAGATCCTCTTTATAATAATTTTATCGATGTCTTTGCTGGCTTGGGTACGTGACTTTGAAACAGCTCTGTGAATCTTATTTTTATCAATCACAAGGTTTAGATCTTCGGAAGATGCCATTCCTACGTCAACTAAGACTGCTGAAGCGACTGCAGCTGCCGAACGCGTTGATAGTCCGTATCGATCACATACCTTAGCTACTGTTGGCAGCGTCAGAGTGTTCCGACTAAATGAATTAGATGGAGACTCCTTTAAGTCACTTTTAGTAGAAGGTTCTATTGAAAGCGACTGTGAACGAGGCGGCAACACGCGTACCGGTACAGTATCGGTTTGTGAAGTACTCGGAAAACATGCTTGCTCTGTCCGCTTCAAATTTTCTTGTCTTTGATGTTTCTTTAAAAGCCTTGCAGTTTCTTTTGCGTCTACGCCGCTTATTGCCATTTTCCTATCATTTCTTTGGTCCAGTAAAAAATCTCTTTCAGAAATGGGAACTTTCTTGGGTTTAGTGCAGGAACTATTTTCAAACGAAGTGCACTTACAAGCAGCGATGTCAAAAAGCTTATTTGACGATTCCAAAAAGCACTTAACTTTGTTGTCATAGCTATCGTTTCTCTTACTTTTAGGATATCTTATTAGTGATAAATATTTTTTTAAATATGCGGTTAGCAGTTGAGTAACCCGTACGTTAGAAACGATGGGAATTGAAGCTTTGGTCCAAATTGTGTTAAGTTTTCCAGAAACTATTGAAAAGACTTCTGTGTTCGATGGATCTTTTCCGTTTTTCTGTAGTTTTAATTCACTTTTAGTAAATAAAATGCACTTAATACCGTCTTTTATAACAGGTAATTGGCGATCGTCAAGTTCTTTATAAGGTCCCAATATAGTACAAGTAGTCTCACTTCACCTTGAACACATTTTTATGATTAAGTAACGCAAATTACGTTTTTCTTTCAAAGAAAAATAGAACAACTCCTTACAAGAGTAAAATCGAAATAGAAATGAGACGAACTGTCTTGTTGTAGAAGTAGCGCACGTACGAAAATCAAGTCAAAACATGAATTTTGTAGGAATTTTGCAAGTCCGATCCAAACCGATTGATCGCTAAAACAACTTGTCGATACTTGCAAATCATAGCCGAGGCTTTTCTTATGGATAAAATTACAAGACAAAACAGGATTGATTCATAAAACATAGAATATACGACATTGACTACAAAGTTGTTTTTGCGAATTTTCAGTAAATAAAAATGCTGGTAGAGCCCTAAGGATATTTTTAAATATTTTTTGAATTATTTTTACGCTAATCTACGTCTAACAGCGCAACTTTTGAGAGGTCTTAAGTAGCTAAAATAAGAATAAAAAAAAATCGGGACACCCTACTGTCCAGTGTAGTCTGATGCAAATTTAATCAGTAGAGAACAGGGAATCGCTTCGATTTTCTGTAGAATGAACTATAAACGATCTGTCCCATCCATTACCATTATCATTGATGATGGCTTCTACGACAAGTCAAGCAAGCAAAAAAAAGAACTGGAAATAATGTCTTATTACTACTTGTTTAAAAAAGCTAAACTTCTTCAAAGTATAGGTTGATGGATGGTTTGCAAAATCTTTCTCTTCACTGTTTGTTCACTGCGACTGTTTTACTTGTAACATCGTCTGAAAGTCATTTACACATAAATGGTTAAAGTTTGAGAGCGCTTTAATTATTGCTTTAGTGACGTCCTGCCGTCCGTAGAACCAGGATACCTTCTTAATGAACTTCCTGAAAATGCACCTGAGCAACCAGAAGACTGGAAAGATGTACTAAAAGACTTCAATCAAGCAATACTGCCAGGTGTAAGTACTCATATACTATTATTTTTAAATGAGCTCTGTAAGGTAACTTGTCTCTGATATTATTACAGTATATCCAAATTTAAGAATAATGTGTATTGTAAAATATATAAAACAATAGGTAAGTGAATTACAAGGTTATGTTTTTACGTATTACGAAGGATGTCTAGAGCTCAAAATAAAAACATGAATTTTGTATATCTTGAAAACAATAACTTTAAAATATAAGTAGAGTTTTTTAATTTTATGAAAACTATCGTTGTTCCTGTTTTAAAGTGCAAAACGGGTGATCTTTCGAAAAAGGAGAACTACATACCTGTATCCTTAGCAACCACTATAGGTAAAGTGCTGGACGGACTGCTTAATAAGCTATTAAATAAATACTTATCATTGCACGATAGCCAGTTCGGTTTTCGAAATTGTCTTTCGCTTGAAAGTGTGGTCTTGTGTCTCAAGCACTCCGTCAGGTACTATACTGAGCGAGAAACAGCAGTTTATGCCTGTTTTCTTGACCTGTCTAGAGCGTTTGATCGGGTTTGCTGTGATGTGCTATGGAAAAAGCTAGAAGAAAGTAGTTTACCTCTTGAGCTCGTAAATATTTTCAAGCACTGGTATGAAAATCAGATCAATAATGTTTGATGAGCGGGGAAATTGTCCGAATCGTATGGGCTGGAGTGTGGCGTGAGACAGGGTTGACTTCTCCTGCCCTCTTTAATCTATATATGAACACTCTCAGTGGGAGGCTCAGCAGTCGGCATGCAGGCCGTTATATAGACCATGTGTGCATCAATAATTTCTCTTATGCTAACGACATGGTGCTGCTGAGCGCTTCAGTAAGTGGTTTAAGGTCCTTATTGGCAATTTGTGAACAGTATTCAAAATCACGGGCTTCTTTACAAAGTGAACAAAAGTCAATACATGGTATTTAGGGCGGGGAATAAAGGTTGTCCCGATGTTCCCCCAATAAGACTTTGTGGAATATTTTAAATATCTGGGTCATGTGATTAAATCCGATCTTTTCTGATTTTTTGATGATAATAATAGCTCGCAGGTTTGTACACCACAGAGGTAAAAGTTACCCTGTTTAAAGCTTATTGTACAACTTTTTATACGTACAGCTTGTGGCAGAATTATTAGTTGGCATCATGTGGAGCCCTCCTGGTCCATTATAATAATGCCTTTAGGAGATTGATGGGGCTGCCCTGGCGATGCAGTGCCTCGGGAATGTTTGCAGAGGCAAGAGTTGGCTGCTTTTACTTAACGACAACTTTTACTTGTCGCGGGTAGGGGGCAGCTCCAACAGAGTCCTGGCCATGATAGCCGACAGAATGAACTGTCCATATATGACTCGATGCTGTCGGCTACATCCAGCTTTTTGTAATCATGTACCTTAATACTAACATAGGCTAAGTTTAAATGTACTACTTACAATGACTATGAGTCACAGTTAAGTACTCGAAATAAAATTTTATTATTATTAATAATAATAATAAAATTTTATTATTATAGGGACTAAACAATATCTAATCTTTTTTTATTTTCCAGATCACTCACTGGCAATCTCCACGGTTTCATGCGTTTTATCCAACCGGCACATCTTATGCTAGCATCATAGGCAGCATGCTCTGTGATGGTTTAAGCGTTGTAGGATTTAGCTGGGTAATTTCATAATTACAACTCAAAATTAATACTTTTTATAATTAACAAGAACCCTACCATTAATATCTATTTATTTATACAACTCCTTTTACTCAAAATATTGAAACGAATCTATGGAATCCATATGTACTCAGCGCCTGAAAAACCTCGAACGACACAACATAATTGATCTCGTAGGCGCACTCATGCATCAAACGAATACGTCAAGTGTCAATACTCTAGGTACTCGTATACTATCTAGTCCAGATAAAAACGTGTTTTGTTTAAGGTACATTACCTTGTATCCGTGTATGTTTTATGTATCTTGTGTAGCAAAAATAAATGGTTTAAAAAGCTTTTTCGGCCAACGTTAGTTTCTTACACAGTTTATAATTTTACAACTAAGGAATATTGGTGTGCATTGGCGTCCTGATGTTGACGTTATATTATTTTAGTAATACAAAACTTTTTTGCACTGTGTCTAGAGCTTAGAGTAAAGAAGACACGTATCGTAAGTTTTTACTGCTACGTTCAAAAAGGGAATAAGATCGGTAGGGAAATAAATCGGATACGGTAGAATATTTCACCGGAGGCATAGAGCGGGAGCGCCGTTGTACTGTTCTTCAAAAAAGGAGACAAAAGCCTACTGAAGAACTACTGCTCCATGTCACTCCTGAGCCATGTGTACAAGTTGTTTTCGAAGGCCCTTACGAATCGACTTGCCCAAAAATTCGATGATTTGCAGCTCGTGAAGCAGGCTGGGTTTCGAAAAGGCTTTGGATGCATTGGAAGATGTCTTCAAGACGCTTGATTAGAACGGACGGGGAATCAATATCAATGGCGAATACATTTCACACCTGCGATTTGTAGACGACAAAGTGATCCCGGCGGAATCCCTGCATGATCTGAAAGAAATGCTCAATACTCTGGACGATTCTTTAAGGCGAATTTTGTATTGGGATTGTATTTGTATTAGGATGAACATTCGTAAGACCAAGATCATGTTTAGTAGGGATGTATCCCCTAGTCCCGTGGCCGTAAATGGCATTGCTATCGAGGTTGTGCAATAATACGTATATCTTGGCCAAACTATCCAACTCGGCCGGCACAACTTCGAACGGGAGGCCGATAGAAGAATTCGTCGGGCCTGGGCGGCATATGGTAAACTTCGTCATATCTTCGAGTCGCCGATCCCACAATCGCTAAAAACCAAAGCGTTTAACCTGTGCGTCCTACCCGTAATGACGTTCTGAGTCGAGACGTGGACACTCACCATTGGACTGGTCCACAAGTTTAAAGTCGCTCAGCGTGCGATGGAGCGTGCGATGATGGGTGTTTCTCTAGTCGATAAAATTCGAAACGAAACTATTCGACAGTTAACTAAAATAACCGATATCGCACAGAGAATCAGTGCGCAGAAGTGGAAGTGGTCGGTCATGTCTCCAGGTGGAGTCGCTGGAGCCGACATGTGCAAACGTAGTATATATAGACCATTTTTCTTTGACCATTTGGTCGAGGCTTGATCCAACAGAGCGGGCGTATCTGCCGACTAGAGGAGTCGCTAGTAGCTCTTCGGAGCAATGAGGAGCACCCACAAGAGTGCCCCTTGTACGAGTCGGAATGGAGAAAATGGGCTCGGTGTGTACTCACACTGCCACTGAGCAGGCATTGGAAGATCTTATTTTCTCGCCGCCATTGGCATATCCCGAAAAGAGTCTCGTAGTTTTATCCGATCGGGGACGAGGGTCTTGGCTGAGCCGCCCGGACTGCGAGGAAAAAAAATTATATAAAAATTACTCCGAATCCCGTGTTTTGCTGCGTAGCCAGGGTATGCATGGCTGATATGTAGTTCAGTCGCAAGCGCACTCCCAGCCGAGGCACCTGCGGACCCCTCGGTTGGAACTTGGGGAACTCGATGCGGCGATTAGCGTCTGGACACGTCTGGCTTTGCCGCCGTGGAGGCGCTCCAGCCGGCCTTTGTCGAGTGGGCAGGATAGCAGCACGGGACCCGCGTGTGCCAGACGTCACCTAAGTGGAGTATGTACCCAAAGATGGTGCCCGCGTTATTGCGGGCAGGCGCTAGGAGTCCGGATTTCTTAATAATAGCAGTTCCCGGATCTCTCCTATTACAGGCGCAGAGTAGCACACCATGTTGTTTTAGTGGGATTCCAACACACCACCCTGCCGCAAACCCTGGTGGGGTGATGGCCCGAGGGGGTTTCCACACGTAAAAAAAGGCCTTCGTTCAGCAATGCACGACTGGTGATGAGAATATTTCAAGTGTTCATACCTATGTACATTTAAACAAGTTTTCGCACCTCAATATTGCGAGTTCGTACATTTATTTGTTCTAATTCAACATGCTCGTAAATAAGAAAGCAGTCTGCGTGCTCTTTATTGCTCCGAAAATTTTACATTATGTTGTGGTCAGATTTTAACCTGGGACTTAATTTTATTAATTTCTTTCACAGATGGCGAGCCCTGCGTGCACAGAACTGGAAGTAGTAACAATGAATTGGTTAGGCAAACTTCTTGGCCTCCCCGAAGAATTTCTAAACAGTTCTAGTGGACCTGGTGGAGGAGTTATCCAGGTGAAGCACTGATAAGTGCGCCTTGTACGAATTTGTTAGTTAACGAAAGAATCAGTCACGAGAACTACCTCTTTGACTTATTGATGACTTTATTTATAGCTTATTAATAAATACCTTGAAGTATAACCAACTCCGATGCGCCTACATCATTTATTTATGACATAGGGGGCAAACGAGCAGACGAGTCACATAATGGTTAGTGACTACCGCCGCCCATTGACACCTATAACTCAAGAGTCACTACTGCGTTGCCGCCTTTTGAGTTCCCCTCCAGAATGTTGGGGTGGAGACGATTAGTTTCCAGTGACCTCACTCACTCGGTCAGAAGTAACGAAAGAACTAGCACCGATTTTCTGTAAGGCCGTGGTATCGCTCCGGTGGAGCTGGCCGTATTGTGCCAAGGCATGGCTCTTCTATAATGAATTGTAATAAAGCGGGTGGTTAATCAATTCTTTTAATATTTTTCACCGATTGAGTGATGTTACCGGAGGCCCAACATTTAGATCAAGTCGACCCCCAACTAATTTTAGACTCACCCTAAGGGCGCAACGCTTTTGTGTCTCTTGAGTTGCACGCTTCTAGAGGCGGCGGTAGTCACTTAACATCAGTCGACTCTCCCCCCTTTGCCCCTGTATAGCCCTATATTTTGGTATGTGATATTACCCCTAATAGAACGGAATTACGGATATTTACCCTCTGAATGGTTCAAAGAGTTAAGAGTCATCGAGCCTACGCATCGGAAACAATAGTTATTTCTCGATGTGTATTTCACATAATAAATATATATTATCTGAAACGAAACTAATTTTGGTGTTTGATTTTCAAGATAAGTAATCAAACGAAAATTATATTTATTGCAGGGTTCAGCAAGTGAAGCAACTCTTGTGGGACTACTGGTTGCCAAAGATAAGACTGTTCGTAAACTAATACGGAACGATTCAACCATCGATGAAGATATAATCAAACCCAAACTAGTCGCTTATACATCTGACCAGTGCAATTCATCAGTTGAGAAGGCTGGTTTATTAGGTTCTATGAAAATGCGACTACTAAAAGCTGATGCTGATGGAAGGCTTCGAGGAGAAACTCTTAAAAGAGCGTTTGAAGAAGACAGAGAACAAGGTCTAATACCGTGTTACGTTGTTGCTAATCTAGGCACTACTGGCACTTGCGCATTCGACCCCTTATATGAATTAGGACCGGTATGTAAGGAAGCTGATGTTTGGTTACATGTGGATGCTGCTTATGCAGGCGCTGCTTTTATTTGTCCAGAATACAGACATTTGATGAAAGGTGTAGAGCATGCGGATTCCTTCGATATAAATCCTCACAAATGGATGAATGTTTGTTTCGACTGTTCAGCAATGTGGGTAAAAAATGGATACGATCTTATTCGTGCATTTGATGTGCAGCGAATTTACCTAGACGATGTTCAAACAGACATAAAAATCCCGGATTATCGGCACTGGCAAATACCTCTTGGTCGTCGATTTCGAGCGATGAAATTATGGACAGTGATGAGAATATATGGAGCTGAAGGTCTGAGAAATCAGATCCGAAAACATATAGATCTTGCTCAATATTTTGCAAAGTTAATGCGAGCAGACGACAGATTCCTAGTAGAGCCAGAACCGTCCATGGGATTAGTTTGTTTCAGACTAAAGGGAGGTGACACTATCACAAAAAAATTACTAGAGAACTTGACAAAGAAAAGGAAGATCTTCATGGTGGCAGGCACCTATAGAGACAGATATATGATCAGATTCGTCGTCTGTTACCGGTTAACGAGAAAAGAAGACATCGACTATAGCTGGAAACAAATAAGAGATGAAGCTGACTGTGTATGTACAGACAAAATACATAAAAAACCGCAAATAGCAGCAATTGATTCATTAGTTGGAAGAGAGGTTTCTGAGAAGTCTAAATAAAGTAAGGTAATTAGGATGAATTTTGTCAGTGATGGCTTTACGTATATGCTTTATCTATAGTTCCCTAGAATAAATTAAAACGGTGTATGTAAAACACCAAATAAAATTTCTAAAGTCTTTATAATAGTTAACTATTCTACAAATCATAAGGTATCTGATCAGTCTATTCGATATTACTAAATGCAGGTGCTTTTGGTTGACAGTCAATAAAACAATTCATATGAACAAAATGTTTTACTCTTTGGTTTAGCAATAAGTCCCGGTGTTGACATCATATGCGTCATAATACGGAGTACAGTTAAATGCAGCTACAAGTACGGCTGACGCATATACCGTACGAATAACCTTTGGGTAAACAATGTTCTTGGCAAACAGCAGTCTCGGTAGGTTCCTCAAAATCGCAATAAATCCGTCCATGTGCTATGCTTGAATCTGAAATGGAAAGTAATGAGTAATTTTACTTTTTAAAGTTATATTTATAAATATCTTATTGAATTATTAAATATATTGGCCTAGTTTAATACATATATTATTACGTATTTACAGTTTATTATGTACCTACTTACTTTCTTTTGCACGATCGCTCTAATTTTAACTACTAACCTTTATGTATTTTGCTATTACAACTTGAATGGATAATTAAAATTCAAGGTATGTACGTAGGTTTAATAATACTTGTCGTGCAGAATTAGTTTGCATTTGATTTGATTTATACCAACATACAATTTATTGCTTTTATATTGTAACTAAATACAGTCCAACTTGTCAAAACCATCAGAAACTTGTAAGTACAACAACTTTCTATAATTCTCATAGAAACAAATACACAGAAATGGTTTACGATTTAACTGAACACCAATTAAAAAGGAAATCTAATTTTAATAATAAGATGTACATACCTTCACTATTGCTTCTGCTAATAGACACGTAATTTTCGGAGGCCTCCTCATTTTCAATGACACCAATCGAATTTCCCGCAGTTATTTGTGTACAATAAGCGGATAATGCAACAATTAAAATTATGACCTGTATTTTCTTAGCAATACCCATTTTTTTGTTATTCTTTGTTTCGTAAAAAAAGGCAATATTAATTAATGTCGTAAACGTGTTACGCCACTAAACCGCACGAATACAAAGTGCAGAAAGGTCACCGACGCAGCTTTATATATGGCATAGATAATCGCTACTAGGAAAAGTATACATTTATAGTCGTAGTTTGCGATGAGTAATCCATGTAGATGTTTTGCTTAGTTTAAACAGACAGTAACACTGGATTTGAAAATTATAAAATGTAATCATAACACAATAAGGAAAATTTGCTAAATATCAGCAATTAAATACTTCTCAATAAGTTTATTACCTTTAATAATGCATGAAAATTAAGATACATCTAAAATTCCTAATTTTAATAATTAAAAAGCATAACAATTTTAATCAGGAATTTAAAATATTTCGCACGACGCCACTGTAGGTATGTGTCCCTAAACGCTCAATTTAACGAAACAAACTTTCTTTTTTAATATTTTTTTTTTGCTGTTTTTACTAAGGATTCAGTGCATATTAAGCGAAAAAAATATCTAAATAGAAATAAAACATATGCCAAATATAATTTTACTTTTTTTATCGTGTGAAAACCCCGAAGGGTCATCACCTCACCGAGTTTAATGGCAAGTTGGCTTGTCGGACTCAAACCGACAACAACTAGATAATGTTCCGTCTAGGGGTCTTATTGCCGTTTCGTAAGGCACACGACGCCATCTGCTTTTGCTACGACCAAGGATGACCTTGCCCATCATCTTCAGGCCAGCCCTCTTGGAAGCCGAAAACCTTTTCCAAAAGGTTCCTAGTTTGTTGTGAAAATAAAATTAAAATGTGTATGTATCTATATTTATTAAACCTCTCTTGAATCTTGAATCTCACTCTCTTCATTGTTGGACCATGGATAGTTTTATTAACCCGGGATACAACCAGTTGGACAAAGCATTTGTTCATATACTAGTTGGACAACAGTCCCTCAGTTGCACCACGGGTTATAAAGAAAATTGCAAAAACAAAATGCTCTCAGTATGACCATGGAACCGTGGTACAATCGGTTGGGCATAGCGGTTGGACCAAGGGTTGGGAGGGATATATTTTTACAATGAGTACAATACGCCTAAAGATTTTTTTTTTTTTAACTCTTGATTAATCGACCGAACAGCTCAGTGAGCCAAACTGTTCTTTAAGAATATCGTTAAAGTTACAGTCATCGTAAAAAGAGATAATTACATTTTCTTACGAGAACATAGTATCGAGGTGTTGTTTAATATTTGACCTTATTTTCTTTGCTATCGAAATTCCCATTTGCAACATCAATGCATTGTGTTGTGATCCACTTGCAAGTAAAGTGAGCAAATGTGTTTATAATGACTGTGTAATATGGGTTTTGGTTCCTTGATAGGTAACAATATTTTTATTACTTATTAGTTAGAGGTATTACCTCCGATGTTTCATGTTAAATATTGTAACTTTATTATTGCTAACATGAGTTTGTTTGTTAGTCAAGCTTAACATTAGTTGAGCCGTGAAAGCCATACAATTTTACTGACTTACTCATTTTTATAATAATTATTGCTAGATTTTGGTTATAATGCTAATATTAGTATTGTAAGATCAAAGTAAATTATGAGATAGATAGATAGGGAGCATACATTTAGTACACTTAGTAACCTTAAGTGTTACTAAGTGTACTAAATGTATGACAAAAGTCTATGAATAAATACCATATGAGTTATGAAAATACAAGTATTATAAATTTTAATATTCCTTTAGCACTACTTTTGTACTTATGCTAAATAGAATAAACCTTAGTACTGTTTTACTGCAAGTAGTAAATACAGTAAAACAGTATTAAACTGTAGTTTAACTGTTAACTGTGTTTGCCAGTGACAACATCAATGTGTTTTATGGGATATCTAAGCTATAGATATTGTACAGTTAGCTACTATTTTTCTACTAAATATTGAAATTGAAATTTAGTAGAACGTGCCAAAACGATTTTTACAATTAAGTATACAAAGTCAAACACTGTGTAAGCAGAAATACAGAACAAACATGAAAAACGTGCCATAATGGAGTTGCCACAGAACGTGCCAATTACTTCTCTAAGCATTTTATAAAATTTAAACTAAACGCGGTATCTACGGACATACAGAGCATATCATGGAAGTAGTACCTAATAAATGCCAAGTAGGTACAATGTTAAGAAAACTAATAAGATACAATAATTTTGTCAGGCATCTCAAATACATGACCCTTTTTTTTCTGTGCGGAACTCCCCTCGGATACTCGGATTTTTGGTTAATAATTACCACTGGTGGGTCCGGGTCCAAATCCGGGTTCCCACACAGGAGGGGTCGTCTATAAGCCGTAGATGGCGGATGGAGGTACGTCGGGGTACTAGGGCTTTCCTTTCTAGGGTATGCCTAGGGTTGACACCCACCAGTGGGTAATTATGTTGGACTCGAACCGACCAAAAACCGCACGCCGTCTCCAGGTACCAGTAGCCGGGAACCAGGTATACCCTAGAAAGGACAGCCCTAGTACCCCGACGTACCTCCATCCGCCATCTACGGCTTATAGACGACCCCTCATGTGTGGGAACCCGGATTTTCCCTTCCTGCTCAGAAGGGCGCGCGCGCTCCGTAGCGCATCGCGCCATTACCCACCCCGGCTTGCTTCTGCCAGAGTGACAGATGGCCTCACCTGTCACCCTCAGGCCTGCGCTTATGGAGGACGCAGGTCGCTCTGCGACCTCCGGCGCCCGAGCCGTCTGCGGTACCTGGCCCGGTCTCGGGCCTGGCGAGCCGGAAGGGTTCTGAACCTCTCCCGGTCTCGCTCCGCCATCTCCTTCGCAAGCATAACTTGCTCGCAGAAGGAAACGGCGGAGTTCCACGCACTCTCGCTCCGCACCATGGCCGCAATCATGTTACCGAGCGAGAGATCTCCCACCCCGATGGCCGCCACGAGGTCACGCCTCTGCTCCACCCACGCCGGGCATTCTGCTAGAGTATGGAGCGCCGTGTCCACGGTCCGGCTATCGCAATGATGGCACCCAGGTGTTAGCTCCTTGCGGATCAGACACAGGTGATCACCGAAACTTCCTTTCCCAGTGATCACCTGCATCAACCCGTATGAGAGGGTCCCGTGATGCCTCTCGCGCCAATCCTCCATAACGGGTCTTACCGCCGCGATAACAGCGTGCCCAAGGTTGCCCTCGGTTGCCCAAGTCGTTCCTTCCACTCCTCCACGAGGACCTGGCGGAGCTGGGACTTCTGATCCTCGATTTCTCGAGACTGAGAACTCCGTCCCAGCTCCCGCGCCTCCTTGCGCCACTGATACAGAGCCGCAAGGACTCTCGCCTCCAGGTCTCAAATATATGACCCGAGAAAATTATAACAGTGTGTGTTGGCCAAACTACAAAATCCTTTTAACAATTTTGCCGTATTTCAGCATAACCAGCGCAGCATGCAATGCAGCGCAACACCGTTGAGAACATTCACCGAATTCAATGTTCTTGAATTATACTAGTTTTCTTAATTTTCTATCTTTAGAGGTTGAATATTTACTGAAAATTCAAATGAGAGGCAGCATATGAAAATTCTAATCATTTTGGTGTATATTTTACATAAAATATATTGGGATTGAGAAGTTCCCGGTGTTTTATATTTGAAAGATGTATTTTCAAAATTAACTTTAATATTTAACTTTTATTGCTTTCGAGTGGGTCGTTTGTAATTCATCTAATCTACAATGGCTAAATTTATACAGTCATCATATTTTACAAACCATTGCTGTACCCAACGTGATGATTCAATGCAGTGATGTTTATTTGTTTTCCTCGTGTTTCAGGAGTTACTATGAATAATACCTAAAGCAATATAAGTACGCCTATACCATTTGGAAGATTTTCCTCGATTTCTGCACTTGGAAATTTATCCTATCAAAAACAGAACACTTGCATTTATTATCAGTAGCACCATTTTTAGGCGTACACCGTGATATTAAATATCATTCCTCAACAATTTAACATTAAATTAGGTTATTAGGCAAGAGCAGGTGATTACCTAGCACAGATTACCCCCTAAGGGGGTAATCTGTGTTACCTAGCCTTTGACCACGGCTTCGCTGTCGGTAATGTCGGTTTTGCCTGTCAATTTTCTCGACATAAAAGGTAGGCATTCCGTACAATCTATTTCAGTTAGGTTCTTCTGTTTTGGCGCTATTGAGTATCAATAGTAGTAAGAAGAAAAATTATGATTTTTTAAACTACAATTTAATTTAACCAATAGATAAAGGCTTAAAGAATAAAGGATAAATTGACCAACATAACACTTGTTTTGCATTATCTATTATATTTCATCTACTACTCCTAAGCATCCTGGTTTCTACCAAGAACATCCTCATATCATGTGTCAAGAAGTAGATTATATTCTTCGAGAATAAAATTATCATTACTATTACTGCTACATTTATTGTTAAATATTGTGTCACCCAATTCATTTGTGTTAAAAGAGATGATAAAAAGTATTAAAAGTAACTGTAATACCAATCGAGTTACCAATATCTTACATATAGCTTACATTATAGCTTTATTTGTTTTCCAATTTCGTAACGCCAAGTATCTATAACAAAATGGCAATGGCCCATAAAAGTCCCATGTTTTCAGATGCGAAAGAGATCGTTGAACGCAGGGGCTCTCTCTTATCTCTTTCTTAATTCCTGCACATACGCAGTCACGTAATCATGATTACGATTACACATGCAGTGAGAAAAAGATAGAAAGGGCCCATGTGAGCAGCGATCTCTCTCGCACTGTGGGACACCCACAGCATTGGGTTAGGTGGGATTGGCGTGCTCTATTCTGATATCTCTAAGTTCATCTCGCCATTAAAGGTTATCCCTTCGGATCTCCTGCTCCTCGGGGCTAGGAGCTAGGAGTATGTGGTGATTCAACTAAAAACCACCCCGACGGCCGGCCTCAGGTGCCCTACTCTGGGAGGACCTGGACCATGTTATTTCAGGTCCTCCCCGAATTGACACCATGCCTAATCAGGCCCTATCCCAGGGGAAAAACACTTACCCCCTCAATCGCGACGTGGCGGCCCAATTTCGACTTAATGCAATCAAGGCGCCATTCTATCCCCTACCGCAGCATTCAATCTGCCACCAGAGGTCCCCACTATCTGGCGGCCCCTCGTCTCGGCCCTCTCCAGATAACGTTCAGCGGTCTCTTTCTGGAGCATTACAGCTTCACAGAAAGAAACTACGCGCCCAATTCCTCCTCACCCGCCAGCATGGCAGCAATGATTGCTAGCGGGGACAGGTCTCTTCCGATTTGGCCGACCAGGACTTTGCGTTCAGACGTCTTCCAGTGTGTGCTCGATCCCATCGGGCCCACTCGACCTATGAATATCCAGGGAAAAGAGTGCTTCACGCACTGAGTTTTGGGTGAACCGGATTTCCGGCATACAGTTATGGTTTCCCCCGTCATCCAAAGTCGAGTTGGATGCAAAGAGTTCGCCTAGGAGATTGGCTTTCTCCCTGGCATCATACGGCTAATGGAGTTATATTATTATATACTCGTACCTACTGTATTATATATATGACGCCACTTATAGATGATTGTGTTCTTACTGATTATTTGCCAGTGCAGTAGCACTAATTTTTAACTGGGAAACCTTGTTTATAAAAAAAAAAACTATGTTTAATCAAATATATCATCATAAGTCAGTAAAGTACGCTTTGGATCCTTGGGTGCGGGTTGGTTGCGAGTTGTCTGTGTTGCGGGGGTCCAAGAACCGGCCTGCGACGGCGGTTTTCCTCTGGCAAAAGATACTCGCCAACTTTCTTCCAGGCCTTCCATTGATGCAAGAGCTTGGGTAGCGATTTCTGGCGTGTCGAATGATAAAAATGCCCTGAAAAAAATCAATGATCCTAATAAAAATCATGTCTTTCAAAAATATAACTATTATGTAGTACAGGGATTCCCGAAGTGTTCGATATCGACCCCTTGAGGGTCGCAATCGGTTTTTCAAGGATCGACAGAAACGAAAACTGATTTTGGGGGTCGAGGTGGTCTAGAAATCGACGACCTATTAATGAAAAAAATCCTATTAAAAAAGATTTAGTAGGAAGTTGTATTGTTGTACTTTTAAAAACTCAAGAAGTTGATAAGCGTGCAGTAATTTGGCTATTGTGGTCTAAGGTGTCAGTTCATTTTAGAAAAGGGGTCACTTGCCTAAGATAGGTTGGGGATCCCTGGTGTAGTACAATAATGTTGATTATTGTCTAATGTGTCAGAGTGCCACTTTAATATAATCAAGAAATAGCTAAGAAAATCTAATGATAAATACCAATCAATAGTAATCACTTGTCCAAAATTGAGCCTTACTATTTCATATCTGTATTCAAGTTTCTTGTGAATCTAAGCTACTCTGTTTTATTCATTAACGTGAACTTATATTAATTAGTTTACTATTAGCACAGACTACAATAGTATTAGTAGCTTTTCTGTGGCAGTCCATATGACGAAGCATAGATAAATATAATAAATATATCCTACTTACTTTATCTATCTATCCTTTCTTATATATGAGATCTGTATTAAATAAAAAATAATTCTGACAAATATAAACAGTAGAGTAAAATACAGATATTCAAATATAAATATTACATTAAGTGTTACTATTATTTATGTGGTCTTGACACTACAATAATGACAATAGGCACTGAGTAAGTAAATATAGAACAGGTACATACTTATCATCATCAGGTTCTTGTTGGAAACTAAACGGTTCATATGTGGCCAAACGACGCCTGATCGTTTCTTCTGAAATGCGGGGACCACACACCAGAAGAACTGAAATCTTGTTGGGTGGTGGTGGGGGTAGGGCTTGTAGGGGAGGGGTAGCAGGTTCAGTTGGTCCCACAGGACCGAGTCCAGCATTAAGATGATTACGGGCTTTTTCCTCTCTAAACATTAGAATATAATATAATTAAATATTAGATATTTGTACTTGCACATCTTACAATACTTCAATTTTCGTTAACATATAACAAATGTACCACCATATTAAATTTGTCTCTATATCCCTTGATAAAAGTAACCTGCACCACAATCAGTGTCTTATAATCAACTCTTTGTCAGTTGTTGTAATATTTTGATAAAATCTTTGTTCTAATTTCTAAGGTAGAGTAAATTACTTAATAGTATCATTAAAAACTGTTAGTAATAAAATTGATTTTATTTTAGAACCTATACAAATAAAAATTCTATAGTCAGTTTCTATATTCGCAATACATTTACAGAACATAACCCCTATGAATAATAATTTTTTTACAGTATATATAGATTAACAGACCGGTCTGTATTCATATTTATAGAACTCACTTTTCCCTTGCAGTTACAAATGAGTCATACAGGTACTTGACTCGAGGAGCTGGTTTCTCCTCAGGAGGTGGAGGCTCTTGTGATGCACTAAAAGGCTGATACGATGCTACGCCACCTGTTGCACCTGCAGACCCACTAAGCTTTCGCTCTCTGCCTAAAGTTGATAACAATATATATTTGTAACACATTGTATAGTAGACATAGGCACGCTGTATATGAATCAGTTTATGTCTAAACTGCGATGAATGGCATAAGTCTTAAAGCACATAAATTTTAAGTTTATTATTTTCAAGGGAATGAAATAAAAGGTGTATACCAGCTCTAGGGCGTTTAAAAGTAGCATTTTGTGGTTGTGGCGGTGGACTTTTGATGGCTTGAATAGCACCGCTTTTTATCAACTTGCGAGCTATTTCACGAGCGTCACGAGCTTCAGTTGGTCGTTTCGGTAATATTGGCTTTTCGGGCTCCTGTTTAGGAGCTTTTAGTGCTTGTAGAGCCTTTTTCTTCTTCTTCAACTTTTGGTACTTTGCCTGTAGCATTAACTCTTCTTCCGTTAAATTGGAAGGAAAATGTAAGTATACCATTTCTTAATCTTAAAAACACAGCGAATAAAGTTTACAACATGAAATCCTATTTGAAAACATGAAAATTGACATTAACTGTCAATGTCAAGATAGCAGTGTTGGCAACAGTTAAATTAAATCTCCACCAAATTCAGGATCTAAAACCATAACAAAACCACTGACGAAAAAACGATCCTACTTTAATAGGCACTAAATTTTCCAATAATCATTTTTTTAGTAATAAAAAAAAAGAAAACCAGAAGGATATTAATAACTAATATCCTTTATTAAACTTCAATACCAATACTAATCGTTTTTGTGAGCCATCATCGTCGGTTCTAAATTTTTACGATTTTTTGGTACCGATTTGTTTAACAAAGTTTTATTGGAATTTTGTTAAATTTTAAAATTCAATGAAAAACACGATGTGGTTTGAAGTTGGAAGGCCAACTTCAAACCACAGCGTATTTAAAAAATTGCATATAAAAAATTTAACTTCATTCTGTACCTCTGTTTGTACATATAGTCTCAACACTCAGTACAACTCAACATCGGCACTGAAATGAAGCAGTATTAAAAGACTAATACTAAAGGCCGCAAATTCCTCAAATGTCGAAGTCTCTTGGCCCCATGTCTCTTTGAAGACCATTACCTCTAGTATGTGGAAGTTCCATAACACGTTGCGCATTGCAAGTCAACAACGGACCGAGTTTCATTGGTTTCAATGATACCAATCTTCGTTTCTCTTCTACTTCTATCTGGCACAAAATATACATCATCCGATTGCCTAAAATTAATAATCCTTCTTCTCCTGATAACTTCTATCTAATCCCCATTCTTCATTTCTTATCGAACGTTCTTGAGGTTTGCGTGCACAAACTGTTTTCACTATTCATGTTTCAACGGCCGGCTTCGCTTGCTAACCGGAACGCTCGTTTAAGAGTGTCACGCACGCATTTTTATTAATTGATTAACTCACAGTAGTACTATTACCTTTTTACTTTACTAATAATATAATATAATAAATCAGCGTACAATAAAACTCAATAAATTTGGTGGTCTAATATACATCTTTATGTAGTGTAAAATGAAGTGTATTTTTCTTCTTGCACGGTTATAGGTCTTTCGAACTAATTGCGCCAATTTAAAGTAATGCGAAGTAGGAAATAAACATTGTTTATTTTTTTATCTTTTTTTAAATATTTCGGACATCTGACACACAACGCCATCTAGTTACAAACTAAACAGAGCGTGTACTATGAAAACTAGATTGACTGATAGAATATATCTTAAAAAGATCTACAAAAATGTCTGCGATAATATATGTCTATCTCCTAACAATAACCCGCAGTCACCATTTTATCTTCCACATATTACAAAAAATAATGGGTAAGTTAAGCTATTTTGAACAACACAGTATTATTCCTTATCGAAAAAATAGTTAGATACATTGTGCATTTCATGTAGATTGTCTGAAGAAAATTGTCTTTCACAGCATATCATTAAAATGATTATCTTACTAGATAACAAGGATTAAAAATGCGTTGGCGACTGACGCAGCTAACGCTTAAGTCAAACCTCCCGCACCCCTCTACTAGACACTGGTGGGCGTGTTTTCGTGGATGGCAATATCTAAAAATTTTTTATGTTAGAGGGGGCAGACGAGCAGACGGGTCACCTGATGGAAAGCGACTATCGCCGCCCATGAACGTCTGCAACTCAGGAGTCACAAACGCGTTGCCAGCCTTTTAGGAAGGAGTACGCTCTTTTCTTGAAGGTTTGAAGGTCGTATCGGTCCGAAAATACCGGATTACCGGATTACCCGTGCCACAGATTGGTTGTGCGGGGCAAAAAGTGTCACGAAAAGCGCACAGTAGTCCACTTAATAAGGATGAAAATTTTGCCGTGTGGAACGATGGCGGAAATTTGCGGCTGGTATTAGTCCGAACAATTCCTCGGAGCACTCTCCATGATATATGCGATAGAGAATGCAGAATGAAGCCACATCTCTACGTAACGCCAAGGGATCGAGCCGATCGGAGATGTTTGGGTTATCGACGATTCGAGTCGCTCTTCGTTGGATGCGGTCCAGAGGGAGAAGCTGGTAATGAGGTGCCCCTACATAGACATGAGAACAGTATTCCATATGCGGCTGGACTTGTGCCTTATAGAGCTGAAGGCGGTGGGCCGGAGTGGAATACTGCCTCGCTCTGTTCAGTACACTGAGCTTCTTCAAGGCCAATTTGACCTTACCCTCTAAGTGTCCCCAAAACTGGACTTCGCTCGATATGTCGATGCCTAGGATTCCAGTGCTGGCTGAGGCAGTTAGGGAGGTGCTCTCAAACTGAGGAGGTACAAATGGTATCTTTTTTGAGGTGAACGCACATACCTGTGTCTTTTTTGGGTTAAACTGGACTAGATTTAGTCGGCCCCAATCTGAAACCTCCAAGGAAGTTTCAATTTCAGACACAAGTTTGTTTCGACTCTCGATGACGTTTTCCCGAGAAATGTTGGGGCGGTCGGTATAAAGGGCATCTCCTGTGCTATCATCTGCATAGCAATGGATGCCACTAGTTTGCAACAAGTCATTGATATGCAGAAGAAACAGTGTGGGTGATAGCACACAGCTTTGTGGGACACCAGCATTTACGAATTTCAAGTCTGAGCATCACCGTCGACAACGACCTTAATGCTTCTGTCCGCAAGGAAGCTGGTGGTCCAATTACACAATTTCTCGGGAAGCCCAAAGGAAGGGAGCTTCGAGAGAAGCGCCTTATGCCAGACCCGATCAAAGGCCTTCGCTATGTCCAAACCCACCGCACAAGCCTCTCCTTTGGTCTCGATCGCCTGTGCCCACCGGTGTGTTAAAAAGACGAGAGAACACCAGCTGAGCGACCCCGGCGAAAACCATAGTGTCGGTCATTCAGTAGCTGGTCATCTAAGTACCGGAGGAGCTGGCTGTTGATTATGGGTTCCATAATCTTAGAGAACAAAGGAGTTATGGCTATATATAGGCCTGTAGTTGGACGGGTCAGAGCGGTCACCTTTTTTAGCGATCATTTGCCAATGCTTGGTAGCATTCCCACTTTCGTGGGGACGCCGTTTTGCAGGATTGGTCGAACCAGGGCTTGAATCTGCCACCACTTATACTATATATTCGTTTTCTCGAAAAAAAACTCCTACATTTTCTAAAGGTGTGTACATTTTTGCCTCTTGGATGTGGCAGCACTACAAGTAGCCAAAGTAGTGTGGAGTTGTGAGTCAACTCATACATCTGTCAATATTGTGATTGTCAGTTCAGTTGCCTTGACAGTTTAACACATTTAGATGACAGAAACTCAGAAAAATTGTTAAAAATCGATTGCATTGTAAAAAAGTTGTAAAATGTTTCGTTTAACTAAAAAGTTAACGGCTGCATTCTCAAAAACTGCACAAAGTAAGACAAATAACAAAGTACAAAGTGTCTTGATACTTGTACAGGAACAAAGATATTCAAGTACCGGTAAGATAAATATTGATTTATGCGTTCTGTTGTATTTCAATGTCATGGTAATGCAAAAAAAACACATTTACAACGTAACATAATATTTTGCATATCATGATCTTACTAGTCGATAAGTCAAAGCACTGATCTTTAACTTATCTGAGTGGTAAGAAAAGTGATATTGTCAATGGTAACTAATTGCATCACAACTTGTGCATACAAATGATTAGTATGTTTCAGTCAGTTACTGAGCCACTGAATATTTCTATATCAAAACTAACCTTAATATCTCTAGGTCAGCCTGGTAAATTCTCTGTAAAACATGAAGATGTTGGGAGGCCTTTATATTTTGATGCACAGGCTACAACTCCTATGGTTAGTATGACTTTGTTCTCTAATTTACATGAACTTCTAGTATTAAATTCATTTTCCTAAATTTTACTGTTATCTGTGCAGGATCCTAGGGTACTAGATGCCATGCTTCCTTACTTAGTCAGTTATCATGGTAATCCCCATTCTCGAACTCATGCCTATGGATGGGAGAGTGAAACTGCTGTAGAAAAGGCAAGGGAACAAGTTGCAGATCTGATAGGTGCTGATCCTAAAGAAATAGTTTTCACATCAGGAGCAACAGAATCTAATAACATATCAGTAAAAGGAGTGGCAAGGTTTTATGCTCCAAGAAAGAAACATGTTGTTACCACTCAAATTGTGAGTATTAGAAGATGTACCTATTGAGTAAACCTTTCTAACATAACAATACTTATGTAAATATTTTTGTCTAACAGGAACATAAATGTGTGTTGGATTCTTGTCGAGCCTTGGAAGGTGAAGGTTTCAAAATTACATATTTGCCTGTCAAACAAAATGGCATTATTGATTTACAAGATTTGGAAAGAGCTCTAACTCCCGAGACTAGTTTAGTCTCAATTATGACAGTCAACAATGAAATAGGTAAATATTTGTTGGTTATATAAATGAAAAAGCCATATATATTTCTAAACCTTATTTAAAACTGCAACAACAACATTTTCTGTTACATTAAATACATTGTCATTCGTTATTTAAAAAGTAATTAAAAACATAACCTTGAAAAAAATGTGAGTCTTGCAAGTCATGTATTTGATGTTAATAATGTGTTGGTTACTTGGAAATTAACCATTTGTAGACAGTATTTATGTAAATTGCATTATAAAATATTATACCCTATTACACACTTGAGACACCCTAGCAGATTCATTACAACCTTAAAATTTCATGTTATTAATATGTTGGTTTATGTATGTATGTAACTAGGTAAGTACTTATGTATGTGTATGTATTTGGTACATATGTATGTATGTCTATTTATCGCATTGATTCTGTCTAACTTCTCAATAATTTTCTTTTACTTTACATATCATTGTCTAGTGCACCTAGTCACACATTTCAGCACCACCCTAAGGTTGACTGGCAGAAAATGCCTGTGGCATTAAGTCCGCCATTGTACAACTCATACTTATGCATAAAAATAAATATTTTTAGAGTTATTTGTAAGTTTTAAAGTTAGTATATTTAGAAAAAGTAAAAAGTAACTCAAAATAATATCCTTTTAGTGAATTAATGCTTCAATAAAACATCCTTTTGTGGGCCAGAGAATTATCTCTTATGAATGCAAAAAGTTTTAACACCTATTAGGAGGTTTTCATGCTCACAGCCCTATTGAGTTCCACTCCTATTATCAGAGACAATTATGAAATGGCACAGCAGTAATATGGTGTCCAGAGTGTGTAAAATGCTCCCTACATCCATTGTAGTCATGTCTTATTGTATTAGGTCTTAAATAATACATAAATTAATATTTTTCTAAGAACTTTTAATTATAATGTCTAAGTAGGTGTATACTTAATGACTTAAAATTAATATTATGTTATATCTAACTTATATAAAGCTGTCTGGGGTATGATGTGAATATGTTAAGGAAAGAGCCATTTAAAATGTTTGCTAAATATTTATTGAGTTTCCGGTTCCGGCGACGAAAGTGTAAACACGTACAAGAGTGAGCTCTGCAAATATTATTAATTTCCAGTGCAAAAAGTGGCAAAATAAACATAAAATACATTTAAGTTTTCGGGAAATCAAACTAAAACAGTGCTCAAGAAAAATTTAAAGTGAAACAACTACCTAAAATTGTGATTATTCTCAAACAATTAAGTTATCCTTCATTTATTATACCTCCTACTACCCTCAAAATTGATAACACTAAGATTGCAAGTAGTACCAACCAAACCAATCAAACTGTCAGTGACATTGACAGTCATAGACAACCACCGAAAGTGTTGCACTGAAACAATAGAAAAATTCTACCACTATACAAAAGTGTTTCCACCATACAACACTAAATTTACCCAACACCAAAATGGAAAAACAAATGGAAATCTTACTCTCCAAAATAAATGAAAAGTTTAATGAACAAACAACAATATTAACAACAGAAATAACGAAAAACGTCATGGAAGCCTTAGATAAAAAGATGAAAATGCTGAAAGAAGAAAATGACAACCTTAAAACCAAAGTCACAAACTTGGAAAAAAAAATAACTTTCTTAGAAAAGGAAAAACGCATGAGTAATTTGGTTATTTTTGGCATCGAAGAAAAGGGAAAGTCAGAAATAGAGTTGGTCGATTATGTAAAAGAAATCATAGCGGAATCAGGAACGCATTTAGATAGCCAAGAAATTAGTTATATCAAAAAAATTGGAACACAATCTGACAAAAATCGTCCAGTGAAAATATCTCTAACGACAACTTGGAAGAAACATCTTATTTTGAGAAATAAGCGTAACCTTCCTGCAAATGTATATATCAAAGAGGACTTCCCCAAAGAGATTCTCGAAATACGCAAACAGTTACAACCAAAAATGCAAGAAGAAAGAGAAAATGGAAACATAGCGTTCATAAAATACGACAAGTTAATTGTGAAAAAACCAGGGACCACCTACCGGGAAAAAAGGAAGAGAGAATTTTCAGGATCGCCAACCACTCCATCACAGAAAAAACTAAGCATGAAAAATACTGCAAATGGAAAGACATCCCAAAGTGCAACAAGGGAAGTAATCAAACCAAGCATCCTTTCATATGTAGCACGAGAAAGATCTGCCTCGACGTCAGAGCTGCCAAAAAACAAGTAAAGGCCCTCTCCAACCGGAACCAAAATATAGACACAACAACACAGCATAGCAAGAAAAACTTTAATAAATCGCCCCCCAAGCCGGCCGGTCACCGTGGGGGAAGTCGACCACCACCCTCCAACAAATCAGCCAACTGAATCTAGTACTAAAAAAACGATACAAAAAGGAAATAGTCTATACCTTTGTACGCTAAACACACGAACCTTGAGAACACCGGAAAGCTTGCAAGAGTTAGAATTAGCTATTAAAAGCATCAAGTGGGACATTTTGGGCATAAGCGAGATGCGAAGGTTGTGGGAAGGGATAGAAGAGAGAAGCAACTTTATCATGTATCACAAAGGCGAAATTGCCGGTCAAAGAGGAGTAGGATTTTTGGTAAAGCTAAACCTCAAAAGCCAGATCATTGGATTTGAAGGGATATCAGATAGAATAGCCGCGATTCATATAAATTTACAAAATCCTACGAAAAAATGGACAGTAATCCAGGTCTACTCGCCGACAGAAAAAGCATCAAAAAAGGACATTGACAATTTCTACTATAAACTAAGTGAAGTTACTGAAAAATATTCGGCAAACAATATAGTAGTCATGGGTGACTTCAATGCTCAAGTCGGTGCTAAACTAGCTGGGGAAGAACATATAATAGGGAAATACGGAAGTGGGAAAAGAAGCAAAAACGGAGAGATGTTGGTAGAATTCCTGCTTGAGAAAAACTTAACACTTCTAAATTCCATGTTCCGCAAAAAGCCCAAAAACAAATGGACTTGGATATCTCCAGATGGAAAGACCAGAAACGAAATTGATTACATAATAACCAATAAAGTTAGGTGTTTTAGTGATACGGGAATAGTACAAAACCTAAACTTCAATACTAATCATCGTATGGTACGTAGCTGTCTAAATGAAAATGCAACAAGAAAACCAAGACCAAAAGCAATTCAAATGAACTTCTTACAAGCAATTAGAGAAAAGAGTAACCCAATCGATACCACAGAAGACCTAATGGAAGTAGTTACCTCAGACATGGACCTAAACAAAAAATATAAAATAATAGAAAACAAACTCAGGGAACAGGCAAGAATACAAATAAACAAAAGTCTAAAGTCCCATCATAGCGAAAAAACTTTAAAACTAATTGAAGACAGAAGAAATCTAAAAATGGAAAAGGATAAGAAAGAAAACCAAAAAGAAATCAACAACCTTAGTAAACAGATTCGCGAAAGCATGAGGAAGGACAGGAAATATAGAAGAACCAAACCCTAGAGAATCACATTAGCAGAACGGGGGGCACGAGGAAAGCGCTCAAGGAACTCCGAGAACAGGGAAAAGAATGGATACCAAAGTTAACAGATAAAAATATGTCATCCACTTCTCGCAGGAAAATCCAAAATATAGCAACAAACTACTACCGCTTACTGTACAAAGAACACAGTCCAAATCAGCCAAAAATACAATTGCCGGATAGAGAATCTAATAGTACACAAAACTGTATGATGGAGGACGCAGAAGTTATACCTGAAATATTAGTATCGGAAGTGGAAAAATCTATAAAGTCAAAAAATGGAAAAAGCCTCCGGTCCAGATAAAGTCACAAACGAACTCATGAGAGGGACAATTAAAGACCTAAGCCCAATACTAACAAAGCTCTTCAACGAGAGTCTATATACCGGCAGCATTCCAACCCAATGGGCAGAATCTCATATAATACTTCTACACAAGAAAGGTCCAAAAGACGACATAGGAAACTATAGACCCATTTCTCTCATTTCAAATGTATATAAAGTTTTCGCTAAAGTGATTCTGGACAGAATATCAGTCACACTTGACGAAAATCAACCTGTGGAACAGGCAGGGTTCAGAAAAGACTTCAATACAATTGATCATATACATGCAATCAAACAGCTCATACAAAAGTACAGTGAATATAACAAAACCATTTACCTGGCCTTTATAGATTATTCCAAGGCTTTCGATAGCCTTACACATGAATCTGTATGGCAAAGTCTTAAAGAGCAGGGGATTCAAAACGCTTACATTAATATCATCAGAAATATTTACAGTGAAAGCAAAGCTAGAATCAGGCTAGAATCTACAGGGGATGTTTTTCCAATTAATAGGGGCGTCAGACAAGGTGACCCACTCTCACCAAAGCTCTTTTCAGCAGTGCTTGAACAAATGTTCAGAAAAATGGAATGGGGACATCTGGGGCTAAACATAAACGGAGCACGATTAAATCATCTAAGATTTGCAGACGACCTGGTTATATTGGAAGAGGACCCACTGACACTGCAATCCATGATACAAACCCTAGTAGACAGAAGCAGAGAAGTAGGACTAGAAACTAACACAAGCAAAACTAAAATGATGACCAACTCAATACCTATAGACATAACCATAAACGGACAGAAACTTGAATATGTAGAGGAATACGTGTATCTAGGCCAGATAATATCGATAACAGACCAAATGTCCAAAGAAATAGACAAAAGAATTGCGACTGGGTGGAAAAAGTATTGGGCATTGAAAGAAATCATGAAAAGCAAAGAACTGGGCATGAAGATCAAGAAGAAGACTTTTGACACCTGTATCCTACCATGCATTACATACGGCTGTGAAACCTGGGCTTTGACGAAACGTCATAGGGACAAATTAGCAAGATGTCAGAGAAGCATGGAAAGAAGTATGCTAGGTTTGAAACTAATAGACAAAGTTACAAGCAAAGACATCAGGCGCCAAACAAAACTAACTGACATACTATCACGTATTGATCAACTCAAATGGAGATGGACTGGACATATGCTCCGCTGCAAGAAGGAAAAGTGGAGCAAACAGGTGACAGTCTGGTACCCAAGGGATGGCACTAGGAGCCGAGGTCGTAAAGCAATAAGATGGGAGGATGACCTAAAAATGACCTTAGGACCACTTTGGATGAGAGTAGCGGCAGACAGAATGCAATGGAGAGACTTGGAGGAGGCCTTTGCCGTAAGGCAAACCGAACCAAGAGACATCTTATAATGAAAGTGTAGTTTTAGTTTATAAGTTTTACTTTCTTTTTATAAACTCTTTTTAAATACTTTTATAAAAAAATTTTTACTAAGACACGAAAATATGTAACATGAAATTATTTCGGAAATAAAGGCTTTATTATTATTATTATTATAAATATTTATCTTGGCATGTTCCAGGTGTAAAACAACCAATCGCTGATATTGGTGCTTTGTGCAAGAGCAAGAAAATATTTTTCCACACGGATGCAGCACAAGCTGTCGGCAAAATGCCTTTGGATGTAAACAAAATGAATATTGATTTGATGTCAATCTCTGGACACAAACTGTATGGACCTAAAGGAGTTGGTGCACTGTACATTAGACGTAGACCCAGAGTCAGGGTTGAACCCATACAAAGTGGTGGAGGCCAAGAGCGAGGAATGCGCAGTGGTACAGTACCGACTCCTCTTGCTGTTGGTCTAGGAGCAGCATGTGAGCTAGCCAAGCATGAGATGGCTTATGATCATGCATGGATGGAAACATTATCACAGAGGTTCCTTGACAAAATTTATTCGAAGTTAACACATGTCATTAGGAATGGGGACCCAGAACACTCATATCATGGCTGTATTAATTTGTCTTTTGCTTATGTTGAAGGTGAGTAACGTTGAATCTTTACTAGTTTTATTTTATTTTCTGTTATCTTTTTTTAGATATTTTTCTAAAGCTTGTCAATAACATTGTTATCAGCAGTGTACTATAGTCATCTGACCTTATATCACCTTGCTTTATTATCAGTGTCATGACAAATTGAGTGAGTTCAAAGATCATGTTCCGAATCTTAATGATACTTAAAAAAGGGATTAGCTGGTAAGTATGAGTAATAGTCTGGTAAGACGTCAACGTATGCCGGACGTCGTCTAAATAGAGAATTCACTCGAAGGTGGTGCCCGCGCCGTTGCGGGCAGCCGTTAGGTGGGGTCTGGATGTCTTAAAAACAGCAGTTCCCGGATCCCTCCTATTAGAGGCGCACAGTGGCACACCATTTCCGACACACCACCCCGCAATAAACCCGTAAAAGAAAAAAAATTGATAAATCGTTTTTCATTAGTAAAAATACCACAAACCTAGAATACATATTGCTAGTATTCTCGTCATCTCTTCAAACTAAATTAAAGCTTTTGCAAGGATTGGTTTGCACTACTGTATATCCGCATTAAAAAAGTAGCGATCAAGCCCCGCCCCCTGTACTTTAATAGCTATTTAAGTACTCATCAGCCTCCTACCCCCAAACTCAATTTTTTAATCGCTATTTGATTTCTGTGATATATTACATAACATTATGGTTCATATCTTACTCTAACATTAAACTACTATTAACCTCCTGATGTGTAATAAATATGTAATAATTATAAACTGAAGTTAAACTAATTATGGTCTCATATTAAACGACTCGCTTTGTTAAACGACTCGAGTTCTTTACTTAAAAGACTCGCGAATAAGCCTTGAACCTCTTAGTAAAGAACCCGAGTCCTTTTCTTGATTCGAGTATTTTTTAATGACTTCAGTTCTTTCACAAGCTTCAAATCGTAATTTTGGAGACGAGTTTTCAAAATCGAGGCTAGTCTTAATTATAAACGTTTATCAGCCTCGAGACCTTTCATCACCAGTCGTGATAGATCAACATAGTTAGAATAGATTTGAACTATATATTTTAGATGTTATTAATTCCTAGGAGAAACTATTATTTCTCAAAATATATTGTTTAAATTATTTGATGTTGAATTGTTTTTGCATATTTTAATTGGAAATATTATATGACAAATTGTGTAAAAGATTTGACGTGTAGTATTACAAATTCAAAAACCTTGAATTAATTTGTATATGTTAATGTACCTGCAAACTAAACTGCAGGCTAGGTTCCTAGTAGGTATGTTCTTTTAATTGAAGTTCAATCAATGTAAATTTAAAGTAGCTACTATTTCTTAGTACATATTTGATTTTATAATTACATAAATAAGTAAATATATATACATATATTATATGAACAGCAAAACATGATAATTAGAACATTTGCTGTATTTTTGCTTTTTAGGTGAATCATTGTTAATGGCTTTAAAAGATATAGCTCTATCAAGTGGTTCTGCTTGCACTTCTGCATCGTTGGAGCCATCATATGTCCTGAGAGCCATAGGGACAGACGAAGATTTGGCACATAGCTCAATCAGGTAATGAAATACCGTTATTGTGGTGTTCATTTGAGCACTTTGTTATTTTTTTCATCTTCATTTCCTAATTTGACTTTCAAAATAATCAAGTTGCTTGCATACTAGTATAAATCACTTACTAGTGCCAATAACCACTTTTTACGTTGGTAACGCCAGTCGCGTACTGTCAATTGTTATACCTCTAACCTTGATCGAACTCTGATGACGCTAGCCGCCAGTAAAAAAGAACACTGTATTATTAGGTTAACCACTGTAATTAAGCGGTATTGCTTGATTACAGTTTCGAACTGAAATTCCTTATGATTATGCTTTTAAGACTACGACTAGACAAAACGGTTGAATCGGTTCCTCAAAATAACCTTCTTTTTTTTTAATCATTCATTACAGATTTGGCTTGAGCAGATTTACAACTATTGAAGAAGTTGATTACACAGCTGAGAAGACGATAGGACATGTAGAGCGTTTAAGAGAAATGAGTCCACTGTGGGAAATGGTGCAGGAAGGAGTAGATATCAAAACAATTCAATGGTCTCAGCATTAAAATTCTGAACTTGATAGAATTCACTTTGTTAAAATAACAAAATTATATTGTATGTAATAAAGTGTTAGCCGTCATTTTAAAGAGATCTGTATTTGCATATTGTCGATTGATATCAGTGTATGTATTTTTGTTTTGTTTGAAGTAAGTACTAATAAAATTCTATATTTAGAAGGTCATACGAAAAATATACTTATAACTGTAGCTGTAGTTGCTATTATTAAATGATACCTAGACAAAAAGTGTTTACTGACCTTAAAGTTGAACTAAAATAATAAAGCAAAATATCAAAGTTAATATTGCGTATCATTTCTAACATTAAAATGGAAGATTTCATTACTTATTGCTCAATATAATACGTAATGTGTGTTTGCACTGTTTTACAAAGAACGACCTTCAAGACAAGGCAATATAAAGCACTTATTGCTCATCATCAAGAGCATTTCTTGTCATTCAGCACTTATTGATCATTTTTTTTTCTTCTTCAATTTTATTTGGGTGGATGCAATCTGAAGGCCAATGCTTATAATAAAAATTCGGTCAAAATTCAGTTGATGAAAAAAGTATTTTCGTAGTAAAGTATTAAACATCCGACATTGACGTGTGCGTTACCCCAGCAAAATAATGTCGAAAATTGTCATTTAAACTTTATAGATAATTAGTTGCTCCCCTTCTGTAATTGTTAGGCACATTTTTAAATTTGTTTCACTTAAACTTTTTTAGTTATTACAAAAAAACATTTCCTGCTGGGGTAACGTTTGAAACGTTACCGCAGCCAGACATTTTCTTTTTTAATTGTAATATTGAAATAAATTTTAGCTAGATAATTAGTTATCTGGACTAGGTAAATGTTACAACTTATTTGGTATTTGTATTTTCTTCGGCTGCGAAGTTATTCGAAATCCTGCTGGAGTAACGTTTGTGGGTTTGCTGGATCTCTGAAACGGGTAAGCGGATTGTAACCATCTTTTGTACATAACTTCTTAAGGATTAGTTTTAATTTGTTCGACAATAAAATAACAAAAATAATGGACCGTTTAAAAATTATTTAGGTAAGTATGAAAACACTTCAATACGTCCTAACACTTTAAATAAGACCTCTAAAGACTTACTTGAAACGTTATTCTATTGCCTGTAACTACCTTCAAATGTATACGAATTTTCGTAAGAATACTGTAAGTGACTAAAAAGTTATGATGAAATGTAGCTCTCCACGTTCACGATCACAATGAGTGCGGCCTTTTTTGGCCACCGATAAACCTGTGTGTGGATATATAAACTGAATGTTATGCCAATAATTAGTTGTTTAGTTCAGTTATCTACCTGTAGAATTTCAGCGTCGTACATATAATAATTTACGAGATAATTAAATAAAAGTCATTAGAAGGTGCAAGTCCGTGGTAATCCGACCATGTTTAGGTGGTTACAAAAAAGCGATCACCCAGTACATTGCGCTGTCTTTTAAAATGTTTAGTGTAATACACCTTACGATTTCGGTACAGTTGCGTACAGTGTTAAATACATTCAATATTTATTCATTATTATTACTAGACTTGCAACGAATATTCGGTTACTATTCGGTATTCGGCCTATTCGGCTGCTTTTATTATATTCGGCCGAATACCGAATATCTACATATTATTCGGCCGAATACCGAATACTTAAATAATATATTTTGTCATTGAGAAATAATTGGTAAAATGAAAAATTAAAATCGATTGATTACGTATATATTCATATTTTCATTTCTGTTATAATCATTTAAGTAGTCATTGGTGCATAACACAGCTACATAATCATCTTCTGAATAGGAAAAATGGAGGATTCTATGTATTTGAATTATTGTGGTAATCAACATTTAGAAGGGTAAGGTTCTCATTTCTTTTATAATCATTTATTAAGTGGTCATTGGTACATAAAACAGGTACATAATTTAATTCACGTCTGTACAAGTTTTTGGCGCTAAAATCCAGCCGAATACTTTTGCCTAATATTCGGCTATTCGGTCAGGGGCCTCGCCGAATATTCGGTATTCGGTATACTGCCGAATATACTATTCGTTGCAAGTCTAATTATTACCTATTATTTATTTTGTTTTTTCCCTAATTGATCTTAAGCACTTGTTTCTTTACTTAAAATTTATTTAGTCTTTTTTACTACCGGAGCTACAATCAACAGAAAATCTGCACTGGTCCGCTAAAATTATAAATATGTAGATACATGTATGAACGATTCACCTGACTGCAATAAAACGAAAATTTAAACCAATAAGAAATCGTTTCATTTCTTTGATATTTTTTTTGTAAAGAAATAACACTAAAGTAATTGTATTTTATTTTGGGGTGTATAGAGCTTAGACTTGAATGCATCAAAATATTTAAAGCAACAAGTCATCTACAATAAGTTAAAATAGACCGAATAGTAGAAGAATACAGTTGTAAATTAGAATGCATCAACATTGCATCGCCCAACAGTCGTATACCTCGTAAGAGTAGGTAATATTGTTCTGTGGTCTATACCTAGAACCGAGAATTATCTATACCTATGTACCTACCGTTAAGCGTTGAGCCCGTGACTGTTGATTTCTGTTAAAAACGAACAGTTGTTGAATGATATTTTGATATAATAACGGTAATTTAATTTATCGAGTGAAAGTGATACATTTTTATAGATAAAATTATTGGTCAGATAATATTTGTCAATCAAGAATCGCTGATAATACATCCTTCGCTAGAACGCGGGAGGGGAGGGGCGAAGGGATACTTCATTGTTTGCCTTTTGCATCTAGTGCACTAAACTTGACCCTTAAGCAGATAATATACGTGTTGTAAAGTACGTGTGCGCTTCCTATTTTTGCAAATATTTATCGTATTCTTGAGAGTTCTTCAATATGTGTGTACCTAATTACTAATAATAGGCATTAATGCTAATTCGATTCAATTTAAGTAATTGTCAATTCTTGTCTTAGGATATTAATTACTAATGCTAATATTGAAATTTCGTTCAGGGTGAACAAATTAAAAACGATCATAACTTTTAGGTAGGTATATCACTTATTACTAATTTTACATAAATAATTTATTTTATTATAATTTAACTCACCGCGATTTTGTGATCAAATATTTTATTTTCTCCAACATTATTACAGAAATAATGCAATACAGAGTTTGTTCGCGATATGCTAGCCTAAGTCGATTCATCACTGAAAAAAATCCCCATCTATTCACAAAATACCTATTTACAACGCATACGTTACACTCTTCAAAACTTATCATTTCATTTCATATTTCTTAAATTACCTATACCTACCCTAAAATTAAACTTCAATTAACAAATACTACGCAGGTACTTATTCTATGAACAACTATAAACAATTCACCTAAACATTACGAGAAAACAAAAGCATTCAAAACAATACCTAATCTCCCGGCTGATTACTAATTATGCAATAAACAATCCTAAATAAAAAATATTTAAAAAACATGTAGTTTTTTGTAACACTTATGTACATATCCGTAGTAAACTTCCAAATAATATCCTACATATTTTAAAAGCCAGCACAATGTACTGGGTGATCGCTTTTTTGTAACCACCTAAACATGGTCGAGTTACCACGGTCTTGCACCTTCTAATGACTATTATTTAATTATCTCGTAAATTATTATATGTACTACGCTGAAATTTTACAGGTAGACAACTGAACTAAACAACTAATTATTGGCATATCATTCAGTTTATATATCCACACACAGGTTTATCGGTGGCCAAAAAAGGTCGCACACATTGTGATCGTGAACGTGGAGAGCTACATTTCATCATAACTTTTTAGTCACTTACAGTATTCTTACGAAAATTCGTATACATTTGAAGGTAGTTACAAGCAATAGAATAACGTTTCGAGTAAGTCTTTAGAGGTCTTATTTAAAGTGTTAGGACGTATTGAAGTGTTTTCATACTTACCTAAATAATTTTTAAACGGTCCATTATTTTTATTATTTTATTGTCGAACAAATTAAAACTAATCCTTAAGAAGTTATGTACAAAAGATGGTTACAATCCGCTTACCCGTTTCAGAGATCCAGCAAACCAACAAACGTTACTCCAGCAGGATTTCGAATAACTTCGCAACCGAAGAAAATACAAATACCAAATAAGTTGTAACATTTACCTAGTCCAGATAACTAATTATCTAGCTAAAATTTATTTCAATATTACAATTAAAAAAGAAAATGTCTGGCTGCGGTAACGTTTCAAACGTTACTCCAGCAGGAAATGTTTTTTTGAAATAACTAAAAAAGTTTAAGTGAAACAAATTTAAAAATGTGCTTAACAATTACAGAAGGGGAGCAACTAATTATCTATAAAGTTTAAATGACCATTTTCGACATTATTTTGCTGGGGTAACGCACACGACATTGACCGTAATGTGATTATATCGTATTGTAACCGAAAATCGTATCAGTAAACTGCTAGTCTTAGTAATACTTGACTATTTTATTCCTTAAACAGATATTATTTTATGACAGTTACGACATCGAGAGTTGTTCGGAACTGAAATGTGGCCAAATTTGTATTACGAGAATTATTGGCCTTCCGGTCACGAGTACGGCCTGTTTTGAGTAGTAAAGAAACCAAAATCTTCTTAGAATATATACTTAGTCATTCTCAGATGAGGCTAAATGAATAGGGTGGGGGAGCTAGTGTAAAGGATTGAAGCTAGTATTTTCCTGTGTTGTATGTGTATGTACCCCTAGTTGTTCCAGTGGTGGTACAGTGGAAGATAAATTGAAAAAAAAAAAGATACTGTGAGACAGTAAAAATATGCGTCTATTACAACATTAATTATTCAGATACTATTTAAATATTTCGACATTTTCATTATTATTAATATCAATAATAATAAATAATTAATTTTTGAATTAAATTATTAATGATTTATATAATTAATAATTGATCCCACGACCCGGTGAAGGTCGCGAGAAGCCGTTGGATACGGGCAGCATAGAACCGGTTGTTGCAGAGAGCATTACTTGAGGCCTATGTCCAGCAGTCGACATCTTTCGGCTGAGATGATTATGATGAATTAAAATCAAATTCTGTGCAATTACAGAATAACTACAACTTAACATTAGATGCTTTTTATGTTACAAGCAAGCAAGCCCATGTAAGTTAGATAATACAATACTAGTAGCTTACAATACTGAGTGGGATGTTATTGCGCCAATTTGATACGTTTAATTTTGTCGGGGTAGAGCGGTTCAAATTTATCTTCCACCGCACCACCAAGGGAACAGCAAACATTATCTAATTGTAATAAATGTGCTATATGGGTATGTTTATGTCATTTATTTTTTATTTATTTTTTTCATTTAGGGTAGGGTAGGATATGAATATGTATTCGTGTAAATGTATGTGTAATTATGTATTTAAATATTAGTTAATATACGGAAATTGTAAATGCGCACCACACGCTACATATTACTATAGAGTATAGTCCATCTAAAGGTTGCCTATAAGAGATCGCAGATTGCGATAAGGCCGCCTGTATCACTGTTTTTTTTGTATGTATCATCGTATATCTCCTAATTATGGTGTGCAATAAAGATTACCTATCTATCTAATTTAATTGTGTTGGTGTTAATCTTGAAGAAGAATATACTACACACCTAATGTAAATGCATTTATAATAAAAGCAAAATTATTTTTAAAGCATTTGAATGAAAGGTAAATGAGGCAAATAAGACCAAGGAAACAGTAACACATAACATTTACTGCAAAATAATTATTATGCCACAATTGCCACTGCCATGACTCAACAAAGAAGTATTTTTGCAAGTAAATCCATATTTACACTTCTAGCTTGCATACAAGTCCACACATTTTAAAAATTAAAATTATGCAGGCATACATTGCCATTACAACAATATTTGAAAGTGAAATAATTTTATATCAAATGATTCAGGTTGCACCAGCATACTAACCAATATCCATAATACAAGTCATAATAAGAATTTCTTAGAATACTAAGAAAAAAAAATACAGTGGAATACAGAACCTCCTTTTTTTTGAAGTTGGTTAAAGAGTAAGTGACTTGTATTGCTCTAAGATTAACACATGTTAATACTGTTAATAATAATGTAATTTAAAGTAATAACCTCATTAATATAAAAGGTACTCTTAGATACAAAGGGTTTTGTGTAAAAGGATACATTTTGTACATAATGACTGTTTTTTGAGATTTTGCAATTTTTGTAAAACTAAGTGTCTTAACTAAAGTAGGCATATGCAGTCGGTTAATTAATACTTAACTTTTATTATACAGTCATTTATGTTTAGTCAATAATTAATTAATCCTTATAATAAAATTTACAGTGCTTAACATAAATATGAAATAATTAAAGCAATAATTAAATTTGATCAGCAACTACATGAAGGTTCATCTACAGGTTCTGGATTTGATATTTTAAAACTCTCGTGATCTAAAGTTTGCAGTTCAATCCTTGATCTATTTGACTCCACAAGTTGTACTGCTATATCTGTAAACATTTCTTCTACACCTTTACCAGTTCTACATGAAGTTTTGTATGTAGTGCTTATTAGATTGTGACACTGCTCACTGAAACATACACAAGTATTGGAATAAACATTTTAAAAACATACACACTATTATTTAAAAGAAAAATAGTTTACCAGAAATGTTCTATATCAGCATCAGTAACTTGTGGTGAAGCTCCCTCCAAATCTGACTTGTTCCCACACAAAAATATTTTCGCATTTTCAGCATATGTTACAATATCTAACAAATGTTGACTCAAAATATGAAATGAGGATGCATTATCTAGCGAAAAAACGAGGATAGCCGCTTCCGCGAATTTGTAATAACTCGATGTCACAGAAGCAATCCGTTCCATGCCTCCTGTGTCCCATAGCTGTAACTGGAATAAAAACAGTCAGACGTATACGTTAATCCAATAAAAATTGTATTGGGCGAAGAATTAAAGAGCGCAGGTTTAATTCCGCTAATTCTTAAATAATCTCAACCTTGACGTCCTTGTCCGTGAGTTCATACAGCTTTTCAAAGTGATCTAATCCCAAAGTTGATCTTCTATCTGAGTTTGGAACAAAAGTATTATTAATAAATCGTCGAAATAAGGAACTTTTTCCAACACCGTATTCACCACATAATATCACTTTAAGAACTGGGGTTTTAACTATTGCCATTTTATATATTTTCGGCCCGGAAATTTCGCACTTTACATTACTACATAAACATGGCATATAGAGTAATAAACAAACTCAATAAAATATTGTTGCAGTACGCAGCAGTCAGCACACACCCATGTCGAATTAATCATAGATATAACACTATAAATCCAAAAATTAATATACTTGTAGTGTTGTGCTCGTAAAATGTCTAAAATATATCGACTTTTCACAACAATGATAACTATGAACTAGTCAGATTCACTTTGATGAAGTTTTGTTTTCCATTTCGCTTGGCGAACCGAGTTGAGTGCAAATAGTGTTTTAATGGGCTATGATCTATTTATCTAATTTATGGGTTTAGTTTAGATATGTCGAAGATACTTAAATATTACTAGATACATCAAATAAACATTTATAAATTACACAAACATATATAGAATAAATTAGCCGTTCATTGTGCTATTTGACAAATATTTTATATAAAAACGTTGTTGTTACACATTTTTCGGTCTCGCTCCCATCCGCTCAGAGCTTGTGGCGCGCGATAAGAAATTTCGCCCAATAATCGTGTTCATCCCGCAATCTGAATTATCTTCTATCGTGTTGTATGAAAACTTCTTGAAATGTGTGCCCTGCTAATGCTAACCTATGGTGCTCAGACCGCCTGTGCTAGTTATTCCAATAAATATAAAAAGAATACTGAATACGCTCCTGAAATATTAAGTAATGAAAAAAAAGGCTGCCAGGCACAAATTATCATTGGGCTGGTTATGTTTATTTATTTTAAGACATAGAACTAGATGCATATAAAACGACTACAGAAGAGTCGATTTCATGTTTACTGAATTGCATACAACACAATTTTTTTTTTTTTTTTTTAATTTACTGACAGACAGGTCAGACAGTACTATTGACAGTAACATAGCATTGACCAATGAGGAAGTAAATTGACTGATTTCTTTACTATATTACTATATATTTTTACTATAATAGTGGATTTGTCTGCACACTAGGGATGGCATAAAATCACAATCACGTGTGATAAATAACTCGATGACAAATTCCCGAGAAATATAATATTATAAAAGAAGTATTATGTACATCAAAATTTAATACGCTTTGAAATCATATTAGTTTTTCAAAGGCATATCAAATATCTTTTGAGCGAAGGTTCGCAATGCCTAAGGCCGCCTCTGTACTCATTCAGTGTACTTTCACAATAAAACTACCTACCTATGTTTACGAACTGAACACTCTGTAACTCTATTCTGTATCTATGGTAAAAAATAAAAAAGTACGTCAGTGATTTTGTTGTCATACATAAACATAGTTAAACATACATATTGAAAGTATTTAGATTGATGCTGTTATGATTGTTATGTATTTTATGTTGTCGGAAGTTTTGAATGGATAAGAAGTTGTCTTAATATGAATTAAATGAAAATCGATCAAGATTGCTTACATCTTTACACTATATAAACATTTCCAAAATGGATCTTCAAACATCTCATTTAGCTGCGGCACTAATGTCTGGTCCAACGTATAACAATATACCCGTCGAGGCAACACACGCTGTACCACCCAGTAGTTCGAATGATGAAGCCAAGAGTGAAAAGCCTCGTGACTCCGAGCAACCTATCGAGGAGAAAGAAGAGGCCGCTAGTGGGGAAGACTTCACTGACGAGGTGAGATTGTTGAATGGGAGGTAGCTATAAGAGTACGCTTCTGGCAAGAATATATTGATTTGAATGATGTTAGTCAGTTGAAGAGGTATAGGCTACTATGAAACATTAAAAATAAAATATAATAATAATATACCTCACGCCTCACACACGGCCGTCTGATCTCAAACTAGGCAGAGCCTGTGCTATGGTAACCAGACTGCTGATAAACATACTTAAATATTTTGGCCGTACTCATCACACAATATTTGTCCTGGGTAGGACTTGAACCCATGACCTCCGGCTTAGCAGTCAGGGTCACTAACCACAAGACCAATAGGCCCAAATATATATATATATGTGTGTGTTAAATGAGTATCTAACGAATTCCTAAGTTTGTGTATAGATCACATCATAATATCTCATAGATATGTTACAATAGTCTATCTATACTAATATTATAAAGAGGTAAAGTTTGTGAGTTGGATGTTTAGGGTTATCTCAAGAACTGCCCAGGTGCTGTCAAAGTCTCATATGATGGGGATCGGGATAACGTGTTAGATGGGGGTTGGACCCAGCAACCGCACTGTGAATCCATGGAACTTTAAGAAATAGGTCTCATAATGAAAAATTCTTTTAATGTTTGATAGCCCTTTTATGGAGGAAAGATATAGGCTATGTAACATTATGCTACGACCAATAAGAGCAGAGTATTAATAAAAAAGTTGAAGTTATTTATTACGCTAACATCTTGAAAATATGAAAATATACTTTAATAGTAACCATCGCATGGTTAGAGCAACATTAGCTCACAAACAACAAAAGAAACAACGGAAACACTTCTATCACGGGAAACATGTTTTGACGGCCGATATAACGTCTCAGAACATTACAACATCCAATGAAAAAGATAAAACACAAGAAATTTATGACATAGTTACAAACAATATGTACAGAAAAGTAATCAAGACAAAAATAAATGAAGATACACTAAGCTCAAAAACAATAGATCTCATTCAAAACAGGAAAGAACTACTCAAAAATAGGAGAACTAAAACAACATTAAAGGAAATTACTGAACTAAGTAAGGAAATAAGTCGCAATTTAAAACAAGACAAGTCAAATAAAAGAATCAAATGTATCCAAAAGCACATAAATAAAACTGGTGGTGTTAATAAAGCACTGAAAGAATTAACAGAAGCGACGTTATGGATCCCGAAAATAAAAAGCAAAAACAACAAGGAAGAAACAAGGAGACAGCCAATTTTAGCAACAGACTATTACTGGAAGCTCTACTCTACCGGAAACACCTTAAATTGCAACATAAACCTTGAAGATGAAACGGAAGATGTCGCTCCGATTCTGGAAAGGGAAGTCCAGCATTCGATTGAAACCCAGAAAAATTATAAAGCCCCGGACCTGATTATATAACTAACGAGATGATGAAAGCAACATTGCCAGAGACAACATCAATACTAACCAACTTGTTCAATCTTATCCTAAATACGGAGTCTATACCTTCACAATGGGCAATAAGCTCTATAATACTCATCTTTAAGAAAGGAGATAGGCAATTACCGCCCAATAAGTCTCATGTCGAACATATACAAGGTATTCTCTAAAATAATACTAAAACGCATCACCAAAAAACTTGACGAACAACAGCCAAGAGAACAAGCTGGATTTCGATCGGGATTCGCAACAATAGACCATATACATGTGATAAATCAGCTTGTTGAAAAATGTCAGGAATATGATTGTCCACTGTACATGGCATTTGTAGACTATTAGAAAGCTTTCGATTGCCTGGAACATCAGCACATTCGGGAAGCCCTGAAAAATCAAGGAATAGAAAATAAGTATATAAGGGTAATAAAAAATGTATATTCCAACAGCAAAGCACGAATAAAATTGGAAACAGCGGGGGAAACTTTCCTAATACACAGGGGAGTGAGGCAGGGAGACCCACTCTCGCCAAAACTTTTTTCATCCGTGCTAGAGGAAGTCATGAAGAAGATGAAATGGGACAGCATAGGGATTAACATAAATGGAACACGTTTGAATCATTTAAGATTCGCGGATGACATTATACTTATAACAGATAACCCGGAAAGCCTTAAAAACATGCTCCAAGATTTGTCAAGTGAGAGCAGAAAAGTGGGCCTAACAATAAACAAATCAAAGACTAAAATATTAACAAATAGATCCCTAATAAGCATCTCAGTAGATCAGGAAGAAATAGAATACACTTATTGCCTTCAACAATCATATGGATTCAGAAATAGAAAGGAGGGTAGCCAATGCATGGAAAAGGTTTTGGTCTCTCAAAGAAGTGCTAAAGGGTAAACAATATACTATTGCTATGAAAAGGAGAGTGTACAACACATGCATATTACCAATTCTCACCTTTGGATGCCAGACCTGGGCTAACACACAAAAACAAAATCAAAAACTGACCACATGTCAAAGAGCCATGGAGAGGAGTATGCTGGGTTACACAAAAAGAGACAGAAAGAGAGCTGTAGATTTAAGGCAAATTACGAAAATCGAAGATGTCGTAGTCAAAACCAAAACACTTAAGTGGAGATGGGTAGGCCACATGATGAGAGAGAATAGGAATAAATGGACGAAAGATATAACAGAATGGACCCCTAGATTCCAAACAAAAAGGAAAAGAGGAAGACAAAGAAAACGTTGGTCTGATGAGATAAAAAAGAACGCGGGTCCACTGTGGCCCAGAATAACTCAAACAAGAGCAGAATGGAAAGAGCTGGAGGAGGCCTTTGTGTCACAAGGACACGCCGACGCCCAATAACTGCGGCATAATAATAACAATAATAATATTGTATTGATATAATTATAATGTTAATTAATTTAATTGCATGTTAACACTTAACTATTTAATAATGAATACGTGTAACTATGTTGGCAATAAAGGCTTAATAAAAAAAAAATGAATAAAAAATATTGGGAATACAGAGATAATTTATTCCTATTGAGAGAAGTAGACGAAGTTGTGCAGGTCAGCCGTTTAATTATATTTAATTGTATTAAAAAGACAACTTCCGCATCAGTACAGGATATATTTATATCCTGTACTTTGGGGGACTTTACTGACTTGTATGTACTTGAAAAGAACACCTGGACCCAGTGTCATCCCATGTGGCTATCGGAACCGCAACACTCAGTGTAGTAGTAAGCGCTTAAACTACTATGCCATTTGTGCAGTCAAAATTAATCACTAAATTATATTTTGGAAAGGAATTGTTCATTTTTTGGTAATGAAATGATAATGGGTTTCTTACCTTTATCAGGTTGAATCTATAGGAGGGTTTATCTGTGTAATTAAAGTACACTATGCAAAAGTAAAAGGTAAATAAAATAAATGTTTTTATTTTAATTTTAGGAAAGTGAAGCACAGCCTGGCAATAAGTCTATACCTGGGAGAGGAGTTACACTACAGATGCTTCTAGAGGACAAAATGCTAGAACCTGGAATAGCAGCTATGACCATTGAGTATCTTGTATGTATGATACTTTATTAAAACTGTGTAGTTGTTACAGTAAAATATTATAAATCTTGTATTGTGTGTATTCTGTACTTTGTAGTTCATAATATTTTTAATCATTTACAGGGTCAAAAGTTTGTTGGTGATTTACAATCAGATGGTAAAATAAAGTCTCATGAAACTGAAACAATATTTTGTTCTCCATCAGCATGGGCAATACACTGTAAAAGAATTATCAACCCAGATAAAAGGTCAGGCTGTGGCTGGGCTTCCGTCAAATATAGAGGAAAGAAATTGGATACAATAAAGGCTACTTATCTTCGCAAAAAACAGTTGCAAAGAGAAAATATGCATTCTGATGGTATTCTTTTCCTTATATGATATTATTCTTTATCAATATACAATATTCATAGTTTTTAGTCAGGTTCAGATATGTACACATTATTTTGTTCTTTGTGTACTGCCATCTTTTACTATTAGACCTACCCTCTTTATCTGTTAGCAACAAGCTGTCCCACAATATACTTGTTAGAGATATAACAGATTAAGCAGTAACGGTACTGATAACTTTACATCAGGCTATTTGCACACTTGTATGCTAGAGGCACCCTTTGTGCATAATTCAACTTTTTTTTTTATTACAGAAGAGGTAGAAATGGAAGTTGAAAATCCTCCAGAACCTCCACCACAGAGAGTAGTTATGAAACACAACACTGTACCCAACAGAATGATGCAACAGTAAGTTTTACATGAGATGAGAACTATTCTGGAAAATATATCCTAATTATCAAAATAATTATGTTGTAACATTTTGGTTTTGAAACATTACAGTGATGCCAACATGTTAATCGAAGCTATATCATTTTCATCAGCAGGGAAAATCCAACCATTCCTTGTGTCAGTCAGTTCAAATGCTAGTCTTGTACTAGATATACATTGTCACTTGAAGAAGGAAGAGGTTTATGGATATCTAGCTGGAACTTGGGATCTGAATAGTCATAGTATGTGGCAGTTATTTTATTTAATAGATGTAATGTAGACTTGGTACCTGATTCATTTCACTTTCAAATATTGCAGATCTAATAATAACACACACCTTCCCATGTCTGATTAGTAAAAATGACAATAGACCCAGAGTTTTAGTGGAATATGAGATACAAATGGAAATAGAAAAACTGGGACTTCTACTGCTAGGCTGGTATCATTCACATCCAACTAATCCAGCCATGCCAAGTTTGAGGGACTGTGATAACCAGTTGGAGTATCAGATAAAAATGAGAGGACCAAGTGAAATATCTTACATACCATGTATTGGGGTTATTTGCTGTAAGTATAAAATTAATTGAAATATAATAATATTACATACATGTGACAAAGCTTATTTATTTGCTTTTATTTAAAAATAAAAATATTTTCTTAGGTGTCATCTTAACAGAGGTCATAATAAAGAGAACAGTAAGTTATCTATATAATATTGTTTGTTTTAGCCCCGTATAATCCAGAGAGTCCAGTTTTAGAATCATCATTAACATTCTTTTGGGTTATGCCTCCACCAGAACAAAGACCTACAGAATATCCACGACCTTTACTATTGCAGTATAACATGGTGCATGACAGCCATTTATCACCTCATGCCATGGAACAAATACGGAAAAGCATCAAGTACTATTTTTTGTTTCCTGATGATACATTTGTTGACTTTAAAGACAGCTTCAAACCAGATATCACATACCTAGATAAGTTAAAGTGCACCCTAACTGCCAAGTTTCCACGCGAGCAAAGTGATGGTCTACTGTGGCATTTTATAACGGATGAATTAGGATGTTCTTCTGAAAATGATGACAAGATGGATTTGGACGCATTATTGGCAGTTCCTCAACCAATACCTGTATCAAAGCCGAGTCAATCCACATCAGTACCTAACTTCTTGTCTGTTAGTACATTGCAGCAGATGGTCAGTCGGCCAGCAGGTGTTCCACCCATAAATGTCTCCTCTGGCATCGGATCTGGTTCTCCTCACAAATTTGAAACACCACCGCTGAATATACCTGTACTACCCACATCTAAATCTACGTCTAAATCAGCTACGCCCACACTTCCATCCACATATCCAACTGGATTAGATATGCTGACCAGTATGGCTCTTGGCTTAGGTACGCCTAATATGCCTCTTCCAATGGGTACTTCTAGCCTAGAAAGTTTAGCTGCAGCAAATAGCATGCTCACTGGACTTACACCTGGGATGTCGTCTACTCTCGCGGCTAGTTTATCCGGCAGTAAACTGCCTGACCCGCCATCTTATGCTGCCTCTCTCCAAAATTTAACGAGCAGTATTGGAAATTATGATAAAACACCTAGTAGTACTTCCACAAGCACATCATCCAGTACTCCTATACCAGCGAGTCTTGCTTCCAATCTTATGATGAGTTCGGCAGATATTGCTAATGCTCTGTTTTCTGCTAGTAAGTACTCTAGTGCAGGCATATTGGGAATTCCAGATCCTATGTCGAAATCTACATTGGCGGCTAATAATATGTTTTTATCACCCTCTTTGATCAAAATGCAAGAAACTTTGATGAAACCACTTTCTACTAGTAGTCCAATATCTACTAAAGCGGGATTGGATCAGAGTATGTTAATGAAGTCTCCTCACGACTTACTCAAAAACAGCGGCAAAGATTATTTACCACCTGATTTCGGAAGTATCGGTAAAGGAAAATCGGAAAATCCATTGGATGCTATGAAAATGTGTGAAACTAGCAGTTCTTCTAAAATGGAAACTGTCAAATCAGATACAATGGATACAGCTACAGATTTTAGTATGCCATCGCGAGTTGGTGGCGAGTCATTTTTGAATCAGATGTTAGAATTGACAAAAAAAACGACCATGCCCGATTATTTATCTGATTATAATAAACCTTTAAAACTATCCAAGCCGGAAGATCTCACGACATCTGTGCCGCCATCGAGTCACCCTTATATGAATACGTCGAGTATTGTGGATACTATAGCGCAAGTGGCGATGGGAAACTTTTCTAAGCACGAAGAACCTAAGGATTATGGAAAAGATGTACAGGATTATAGTAAAGTAGCATCCAATGAGAGCGAGAACTGAATTACGATAAAAAATGTGTGTATTTATGTAATGGCACATGCACAAAGTGATTCAGGAAAAAAAATATGACAGATTTGTTTAGAAATTGACTAAACTAGTAGTCTTAAAACCTCCACTGTTTAATATCTCCGTTTTTTTAAACATTTGTGTTAAATATATATGAACTCTGTGATTTTTTTTATAAAATTTGTGTATGTCTGGTTGATGGTAGGTTGTGTAAGTCTTAAGTGCGTATGTTAAGTAGTATAATGCAGTTTTATTTATGCCACAAATATTGGATGCCACTTGCCACAAAATCAATCAAACAAATTTATCATGATATTAAATATTATCAACAATTTATGGGTAATAAACTATTTACTTATTTATATAAAAGGCCAAACAAACGACGCTTATATTGATAATGTGATAAGATTTGTTTAGTCACATCAGAGATTACAATGTCCGCTATAGCGCGCGTTTTAAACAATTGTGCATCTGACAAATTACGCCACATTTTGATTATTAGAAATTTCAACATATTTAGCATATTATTCTTGACTAATATAAGTTACTTAAAAAATAATAATAGGTAAAATTAATTGATAAACGCCACTTGGTTGAGTTTTGATTAATATTATAAATGCGAATGACAGTTTGTATATTAATTAAAAATTGTATGAAGTTCAATCAATAATTCAACCGATCATCATGAAATTTTTCCTACTTGTTGATGGTGGTTATAAAAAATGGCATGACATGGCAATGGCAAAAATGGGTACCTTTGATGAAAAAGTACTATTCTTGAGGGATCATTTGATTGATAACATTAACTAACGACGCTAGGAGCAAAAGCCAGATGTCCACGAAAAATAAGAGCAATATGTATATCCTGAATGACGATGAGTCACAACTGACTTCTAAAGTTAAGCTTTAAAAAAATATTCCTATGGTACTGTAGTTGTTCGCGTAACTTCTTAGCTTGCTGTTAATGCTATTAACAGCAGGCTAAGAAGTTACGCGAACAACTGGCTTTTCAGCTACGCAGGAAAAAAAATATCGTGCAGAATCCTAGAAGAATAAAAACAGGCGGATATAACACATATCAATTGCTCGTTTGTGCCACAGTTACATGTGTCACAGCATGTATTAAAGATCACGATGTATCACGATAGTCTGAACTGATCAAGTTATTTCTTTGAAAAATTCAATTTTATTAATTTGAAAACGAATTTTATGAACAGGTTTTTGCATATAGGAAAGTACAGACGCTTTCTTCTTATTTAATTGTACCGTGCCAAGATCATTATTAGAATATATGGTTGTAATATATGTTTGACTCAGTAGTAAAATATATATAAGCGTGTGCTGCTTAAAGAATTTGAAAATTCTCCATATATTAAGTATTTAGTATTCGTTCTAATTAGGATATTTATTTTTAATGTAATAAAATTTTCATAATAATATTGTTTTTTATTGCACCCAGAACAGAGACTATGTTACTATGGTTATCACTATCGTGAATCAGAAGTGATAAATATTGTACCAATAAATAATTAATAACTTATCAAACTCTAAGTATTGATGAATAAGGAACCAAATTATGTGTAATTCACATTGGACATCGAATTTAAGTATTTCTAGAAGAATTTTCTTAATAACAAAAGGAATCTGCAATTATCAAGTTAGTACTCGGAGTTTAAAAAAACGGGCCAACTTTAAACTAGGTCAAGGAAATTATACCCTACTAAAACTCAATTTGATTTGTTGTTCTTTAAGGTATAGGTTTTAGGCACGTGGTTAGTTTGGAGATGCCCGACTTGTTTTTGCATCCTCGTCGTTTCAGCCTTTGCTACAGGACCCCAGTCAGGTACTAAACTATTCAAGCATTAGTAACGTTTTTAGAAAAGCTTTCAGATATAGAAAGTAGGTGTGTACATATAGTACCTAGGTACATAATATACTTATTTCACAATACATTTTAAAATTCATAAGCAAAAAATATAAGTAAATACCAGAACATAGTTTAGGAAATCACAACGCGATTGATCTACGATTAGGGGGAAGTGGGGCAGATTCATACAAGGGGCACCGTCATACACTAGATATATCTGTTGTTAGGCGCACATCAACTGAACGACTTATCCGTGTACGCGTAGCTTACTTATGGGTGTATTGGCTCACGGAGTTTGACAACAGTCGGTGGGAAATTCGCGATGAGGTGACATGGAACGTGATTCGGCCACGCATAAGTAATTTTAAAACCTCACTTTAAACATCTTTTTTTTAATAAAAGCTTTTTTCTAGATTTTTCAGTACTATTTTATTCAAAAGGTAATAAGATCAAGTTTGTAAATTGATACGTGAATAATGACATTTACAGTTGATTTTTTTTTAGGAATATTTTTATTTCATTTTCTTGTGATGGGGTTGGTTCATACAGCAGTAAGCGGGGTACATTCATACTGTATGAATGTGCCCCACATTTTTATTTCTTCCAGATCCTAGAGAATATACTTATACCGCAAACACAATTTAAATGCCGATCTGATTTTCAACAACGACGAATCTGGTATTTCTGCTGTTCTGAGCACACCCAAAATTTTTGATGACAAGAGCCAAAAACAGGTTGGTCAAATAGTGTCTGCCGAAAGAGGAGAACTGGTCACATTTGGTGGTATTATTTCAGCAAGTGGAAACACCATACCGCCCTTATTCATCTTCCCTCGAGTACATTTTAAGGACCACTTCATAGAAGATGCTCCAGAAGGCTCTTTAGGTGTAGCCACGAGAAGTGGTTGGATAAACTCGAGCATTTTTGTTGATGTTCTAAAGCACATTCAGAGACACACCTTATGTTCGAAAGAAAATCCAATATTCCTTTTATATGACAACCATGAAAGTCACATTTCTATTGATGCAATCAGCTACTGCCGTGACAATGGGATTGTGTTCCTTTCCTTTCCACCTCACACGACTCACCGCCTTCAAGCATTAGATGTTGGAGTATTTTGGACCATTAAAGTCGAAATTAAAAACGGCTTTCAATGACGGATGGCACGTTTCCAATCCAGGAAAAACACTTAATATTTATAATCAAAGAAATCAAGAAAGTGTGTTAGGTTAACTAACTTCCTTCAGTGTCATAAAAAGAAAAACTAACTACATTTATGTTATTCTCTTTTTTACTTAATATTATTTGGTTATTACTTAGTATTAGTTGCTCATATAGACTAATTGCTTTTGTTTTCGAGAACGTTGTGGTTTGATACTTTTATTTTGATGAATAAAATATATAATGAATAAAATAATAAATAAACTTGTGTATTTTTTACATATATGAATCTGCCCCATAGCCTGTATGAGAGTGCCCCGCATGTGGGGTACATTCATACATTTTGATTATTTTTTTAAAACTTTTATCAAAAGTCGCACATGTGTATTTACACAAATTACATGTTCTTGAAATAAAGTCAGATAGTTAAACTACTAGTTTTTGATGAATCGATACAGATATTGATACCAGAGTAAATTCTATAACACGAAATATAAAAACTGTATGAGGCTGCCCCACCTTCCCCTATATTATCGATAAGCGTGTAATCAACTTTGATATCGTAATGACCGTATCTTTTTATATGTGGATTATAAGACGGTGGGCCAGTGATTGTCTAGTCATTGTTCTATTAACTTTAAGTTTTGGCATTTATTAGTTGCAATCGAACTTTTCGGTGTTATAGATGTGTGATAATGATATAATTATGTGCGCATACAGGAATTTTCGTTGAAACAGTAAGTTTCTTTGTTATTCTTGTTTTTATCTAAATACCTAAGTAGAGACGCCAGACAAATAGTATATAATTACATTATCTTTCAGAACCTAGAATATTGTCAAAAATAAATGGATAGGTTAGAATTGTTTATGTTGGGCTGATTCTTCTACTATTTTTTTTTGTTTGGTGGGGGAAGAACCGGATAAAAAAAATATCAATTTAGATTAGCTACAGTTACATTTTATTATTATTAGTGTCGCTTTTGTGCTCGTAAAGAACAATAAAAGTAATAGTATCATTTATTGCATTCCACGCCATAAAATATATAAAGTTTATCAATTAAGAGTAGGTAAATAGTGTGTAATTGTGTACCTGAATAAGGCGAAACTTTTCGGGTTACTAGAATTTCTTCACTTTTATTATTTGGATTGGAACAGTAGCAGCTATTCTGTAATTTAGAGTAGAATCATAAGAGCTGGATGTAGAAGCAATTATGGCTGACGACGTTTTACTTACAAGTAGCTTGATATGCCGTACTGTACAGTGCTTTACTTTACGCACTTAATTTAAGCACTGTACAGCAGAGTGGCGAGTCAAAGGTTAAGAGTAGCCACAGGCACAGATCGCCGTTTATCAAAATGCGTTCTTTGTTGTTATTTGCAACTAATGTTTTTTTTAATAGGCTTAAATGCCTTAACAACTTAACCGATCATCAGTGTAGCAGTAAAAGGACATAGGTTACTTCTTAATTACCTAACTTATTGAGACATACCTATCTGAATTTGGACAAAATTTATATTAACCTACGAAGCCACTGGCAAATGTTAGATAACAAACATATTAACGTCAGCGGAAAATCGGTTTTAAGTATTGCAATTTTCGAGCCCCGACATAGTTCATGAGTGGGTAACATGGGTCAATTAGTTTACCTACTTATAAGCACTGTACAGCAGAGGTTATATATAGGTAAACTAATTGACCCGCGCATCTTCGTCTGTGTCTCTCAAAAGGAATAATTTTGCTCTGATTTTGCAACATTTTTCATTGATGCTCGGATCCTATTGGGTGTAGCGGCATGTTATATGCCTTCCTCGATAAATGAGCTATCACTATAGCTATCAAAGAATTTTTAATTCGAACCGGTAGTTCCTGAGATTAGCGTGTTCAACCAAACAAACTTTATCTTTAATTAGTAAAGCAGTTTATAAAATTGTTATGTGTATAGTTTGTTACAGAAATAAATAATGGCTACCAAACCCAGAACACCCGGGTTTAAGGGTGTGGACGACGACAGCGAGTCCGACTCGGAGTATACGCCATTCTTCGAGGACGGGGATGAACTAGAGTAAATGTTTTCGTGTTGTTATGTGAATGTGTAACGTTAATATATGTAGATGAGAGAGGAAGAGCGAGAAGGGACCTAATACAAAAAATAAATCAACGATGAGCATTTTCATCACGGGCCTTTTGGTCAAGTAATTAGTGATCCTTACTGCTAAGCCAGAGATCGTGGGTTTGACTTCCATCCAGGACAAATAATTGTGTGATTTGCTCACTTATTTGTCCTGTGTCTGGGTGGTAATTTACTGAAATTGAAGTTAACATACTGGGTCAAAGTAGATGGTTAATAATAGCAAAAAGAAACAGATCAGTAAAAAGTGAAAGACCTTGTACTAAGAATTAGCGTACAATCCGGTAGTACCTTGCTGAAAACTTGGCTTGTATTTTTGGACTGTTTCGTTTTCTATTCGTGACTAACTGTTGCTATGTGGACTTTAATCTGTGCTCCTGATACTGTTGAAGATGACGACCTATACGACGAGGAATATGATGATATTCTGATTTATTACAGATACTGCCACTGTGCCACGTATCTTGAAAATGGTTAGGTTTGGGATATGGTATTTCACAGTGAAATCTATCAGAAATAATGCCAACAACAACTCCTTAAAATATCTAGGTCGACTTACCCAGTAACCCTGTATACCTAAGTAGGGGAAAGGGGGGTAGCCCCGGCCAATATTTTGTTCTTGATGTTAAGACTACATTTATTAAGAGAAATTCAAAGAAAACTACAAAAAAATAATCAACATTATATTTATTTACGATAAATATTGAAAACTTGAACAAACTTATTATATAATTCTAATTAAAGCCAATTCAAATACTAATGAAATTTTGATATCTTTTTAAGGTTGAGGGTACCTCCGGCCACCTACGTATTAGTGACCAAATCGTTTTTTAGCGACAGATACATCACAGTTGTAGTACAAATCGGATGGATTTATATCAACGCATGCTTCGTGAGCCCAGTCTTCACATATTTTGCATTGGATCCAATCCTCATCGAATGTTTCACCACAAATGATGCATTCCGTCTCCTGATGTTGCGAATATGGCTCAGATGCAACTTTCTTCGCTTTCACCTGCATTTTCATGTTTCTTTTTATCTTTACCATAGCTTTAGTGTCTTTAGCTTTCTCCATTAATTCCTTTTTATAAGGCGAAGATGTCAAAATCTCGCATTTTTGTGTTCTTCTTTTCCTAGCTGTCAGTCTTTTCTTTGAGGCATCTGGTAGAGGTGACAAAACCTTAAGCACATCATTAATGTTCCCAATATCAATACGTGCACTTGGCCCCGCCTCTTGTAAATTTTCTAAAGACACAGCTGGAACGCTAGCTATTTGTTCAATGTTCATGGTTGGTATTGCTTCATGAAGTCGAAAGGCAGGTGACGACACAGATAGAGCGCTAATTGACGATCCTGGTTCATTTTCTGGTGCTGCAGGACTAGGAGCCTGGACTGTTGATTGACTAGATCTATCTTCAATCGGTATATCAGTTAACGCAGAACCTAAAAAGTCTAGGTCTGAAAACACGTCTCTATTATAAGGCTGGATACCTGTGCAACGGAAACCACTTTGGGCTATCCCTAATCTAGCAGCTTTGGTAAACGCTATATTTGTCAGTCCAGCAACGTCATAATCTGTTAGTCGAGCACCAGGATTCTGACGCATCCATGATGCACTTGCTGATCCGTAAGCCTGTTTAAAAGGCTTGAAAAACACACGATCTAATAACATTCAGCTCTTTGTGGCTATTGTGTCCATCTAAAATTAATAAAACGGGGTGGGCTTCAGACGGATGGACATGTTTCTTGAAATGTTTAAGCCACTGGAGAAATATCTCTGCATTCATCCAACCGCTTTCGGAGGCAATACCAATGCTTTCTGGCGGTGCCCCAATCATAAGCCGGCCATTCTTATCCAGTTTCTTCCTGGGAAAAATAAACATAGGGGTACAAAGTGACCCGATGCACTCATAGAAATCATGACAGTGATGTTACGTCCTCGTTCAGCTGAAGTGAGTTTCCCAACCTGCTTTTTATCTTTCACTGACAAAAATCTATCATTTTTATGGACATGGTGGGACTAATCCCGCCCACATGCCCACCACTGTAACTCCTGTACACCAGGATCCACAGCAGTGACCCACGAACACACCGAGTTATGACACTCGGGAAGTCCCAGGAAGAAATTAAACTGTCTTGGAATTATAATTTTTGTAATTTTTATGGACAGTCGAGACTCCTGTCTCGTCAGCATTATAAATTTGAGAAGCTTGAAATTTAAATTGTTCATACAGGTTGAAGAGGAGGTCATAAAACCGATCAACTTGAGGTTTATTGAAACCTGTAGAACGCATCAAGCTTGTAGCCTCTGGAGTTCTTAGTGCTACATCTGGATTTCTTTTCTTGAAGTTACAGAAAAAATCTTTTCCAGCCATTCGCTTGTCCTTGTTAAACCTGTAAGGAATTTTAATTTTTTTCTGCCAAATCAAAGGCAAGGTGCAAAAACTCACTTCTTGTTAAATGCATGAGACGGTTATCTAAATTTATAACATGCTCACAAAGTTGTCTTTCAAACTCAGGTTTAAATGTCTGTTGAAAACGTCCTAATTTTGGCTTGAGGGTAATCTCATGACCTTGTTTCATAGCTTTGATACTATCCTGCAAAGAAGTACGTGGAACTTCGTATCGATCTGCGGCAGCTCTCTCAGAATATTTTTTGTCAAAGACGGCTTGAATTGCTTTTTTCATATTTTGTTCACTCCAGTCTCCGCGATTTGTAGTTCTATTTTTAAATTTAGGCATTGTAACACTGCAACAAATGATTTTTGACTGTGAGGTTAAACACATTTAGAATAATAGACATCAGAACGTGGCCGGCGATACCCCCAAAACTGACGGCCGGGGTTACCCTACGTGAATTATGTCAAAAAAAACATTCTGTTTAAAAAACAGATCGTTACATATTCATAGAAACTGAAATATAGAAAATAGAATAATATTGCAATATGTAAACAACATAAAATAAACAATTACATACCTTTAACAAATAAATATTGTTTCGGAAATAATTATTGTCACGCGGTCCCAGTTCACCAAAAACAAAATGCACTCAATTACGTCTGAACGCAACGGTCAATCGAATTCAACTGTCGGCATATGTAGAATGACTTGTAAACGCTCCCAGAGATCACACGAACTTCAAGGTCACGTCGCGCGAAGTACGATTATTTGCTCTGGCCGAGGCTACCCGCCGGCCGGGGTTACCCCCCTTTCCCCTATGTTTTGCAGCAGTCTGGTTATCATAGTTCAGGCTCTGCCTAGTTTGGGAACAGTCGGCCGTGTGTGAGGTGTGTGAAGCGTTATAATTAGAGCGTACCTGTATCTTGCAGTCAATCCGGCAACTAAATGTAAATGGAGCTGAAAATTCATATCGTTAACGAATTATATATATATATCTTTTTCGTTATGTACCTATTGTGGGTACTTTGTTTAACAAACAAGATTTTAACCAACCTCTAATAAAGCAGTCACCTAGATGAAAGAAGTTGCCTCACCTGGCTTGTCCTAAGTGCTTTGATGACCTTGTCAAAACACAAGTTACATTAAAGTATAAATAAGTATATGCAAGGAATAAAATAAAAAGAAGTTAGTATTAGTTTTTAAATAAGGATACGCAACCCTATAAGTTTGCGTGCGAACCTTCTGTCTGTTAGTAGCGACTACGATTCTCTAACAATTCCTTCAACACAACTCTTTACTTTTGTTATTTCAAAATGATTTTATTTCTTGAAAAATGTATGAAAATGAAAATGAACACAATAATTATCAAAAATATAGATAGGTACTTTTATCGCGGATCATTTAAAGTGGGTTAGGTACTTATCTCTTGTAAGTTTTGTGTATTGGATATTTAAACTTTTATATTTACAATCTTTACCTAACTGTACTGTACTCTTTTAACTTTGTAACATACGAGGGGGTAGTGCCTAGGTGCCTAGTATTTTCCCTTGTAATTGTTGTTGAAAATACACTTTTCATCATACGTCACTGTTTGAATTACACCTTAGTTAGATGATCGGGTCTCCATTAGACACTGTTCGTGATTTTTTAAGTCTCAAAATTTCAGTAGTTAACGCTCACTAAACTTCTAGAAAATATAAATTTACCCTACTCGTTTTAGTTTCCGTGCTGTATCCTGGGCATTCCAAAGCATATTAACAAAAAAAAGTTTAGGGCAATTATCAGCAAGAAAAATACATAACTTCTGATTGCATTTATATACCGACTGCGCACATATATTCGTCTGATAGTAGCATAATGAACAAGATAAATTGTCGAATTTTTATTCTAAATCCAGAAAGATCCTATTATAATCTCACTGACATCCCATTAATGCATTATCAATTAAATTATCAATTTTCCCTCAGCCAAAGAACTGCCCAAGAAACAAAAGGATGGAATCTATTTCGAGAGCTACCTGTAAAGAAGGAGAGTGGATCTATGGCTTCAACTGCCTGCGTAGATACCACTGTAAAGATTATTAAATTGCTAGCGTACATATTTATATTTTGCCTAGTGCTCGGCTCTGCTATTATTGCTAAAGGAACACTGCTCTTCATGACATCGCAATTAAAAAAGGATAAGGAAATACTGCATTGTAATAGAGCCTTAAGAGTTAAGTATATTTAGAAAGTTTTATCTAGTAGTTTTAAATATTTCCACTAAATATATTTAGTCTCACAAAGATAACTTTCCTTAAATTATTTTTTTATGGGTCAGGGGGCAAACGAGCAGACGGGTCACCTGACGACATGTGACTACCACCGCCCAAGGACATCTGCCTGCCTGGTGTATTGCCGGTCTTTGAGCCCCCCTCAGACTTAAATATGGTTTTCTGTGAAGCCGTGGTATTACTACGGTCGAGCCGAAAAAAAATCCTGTTTCTAATATGTTGCTACACATGCTTACAGCTACACTGTGTGCACTTTTGTTTTGGCGCACATTAAATACCATCACAAAATGTTTCCAAGATGCATTGTCATCACTTAAAAGTAAAAAAAAACACTTCAATAAATAAATGTTAAGTAATTCGTATTCACGTTACCAGTAAAGTAAAGCATATAATAAAGGGCATGGTAGCTTCTATCCAGAAACAACATGTTCTCGTAAGTTGGAAAATGTTAGTAATAGTTTCACGCGATCAAAGTCGCATTCTAAAACAAACATTATTCAAATTTTGAAATAGTATAGTTGGATGGATAGTTGTTGCAGATCTCGTCCGATATTTTATTATTTCATTTAACTATTCACATTTTTTTCCCCATTGTAGATTTGGACAAACAATTTGTAACAGTACTTTCATTAGAAGAACGAATAGCATGGCTCTGGGCAATTCTAATCGCATTCAGTATACCTGAAGTGGGCGTGTTCCTAAGATCACTCAGAATATGTTTTTTCAAAAGCTATAAAAAACCAACTCTTGGGCAATTTGTCGCGGTAAGTTTATCTATTTCATCAATCATCATCATCAACAGCCTTTAATAGTCCACTGCTGGACATAGGCCTCTCCTTATAAAGGAAGTTTATCTATTTACTATTATAATTATATTTATTGATTATAATTATTATAAATTACTAAATTAAGCTGCCAGACGTTGATGTAAGCATTTATCGACTTGAGTTGTCTCTTAGGAATGTGCTGATTGTGACGAAGATCTCTGTAAGATAATATATTTAAGCATTTATTTGCATGTACTTAAAATCTACCCTGTACTAACACGTCTGGCCAGCAGGTTATGGTAGGCCAAAACCTCCTTGCTGAGAAGAGGCCTTTTTTACGTGTGGAAACCACCTCGGGCCGTCACCCAACCGGGGTTTGCGGTGGGGTGGTGTGTCGGAATCGGACCGACTAAAACCACACAGTGTGCCAATCTGCCCCTGTAATAGGAGGGATCCGAGAACTGCTGTTATTAAGACATCTGTACCCCTCCTAGCGCCTTCCCGCAACGTCACGGGCACACCTTCGGGTACATTCTCTATTTTATTTTTATTTTATTCTCTATCTTCGCTGCTGGCCCTTATGACGGATGGAGGGGAAAACCCGTCCCGTCCATCCGCGGCCACAGTCAGGGCGGCATGAGTCGCTCGTCGCAGTTCGTCGGCAGCGGAGGCGCGCTTACCAGCGACTCATGCCGCCCTGACTGTGGCCGCGGATGGACGGGACGGTTTTCCCCTCCATCAGTCCATCCAGAATGGAAATTATCCTTCCGGGCCCTCTCCGCCGCTTCCTGCCGCTAGATGACGTTTTCGCAGAAGGATGCAACCGCGGTAAAACATCTATCACTACCGGCCATGGAGCGTATAACGGCCGGTAGCGAGAGATCGGCCTCGCGCCATTCGCGTACTTCTTCGGACGGGGGCCGACTGGCACTAACCGCCCGGCACTCAGTCGTCCGCCGATATACTTCGGCGAGCACTTCCGCCTCCAAATCCCACGAGTGAGTTCCGGCCAACGCGCACGCTGCCTCCGTCGACACGGTGCGGTAACCGCGTATGGCTCTAACCGCCAATACCCTCTGAAGATGCCAAAGGCGCGCCCTATTTTGGGCGGTCAGAGCCGCTGCCCACACCGGTGCGCCGCATTGCTATTGACCGGACAACCCCCATGTACAACCGTCACCCAGATTAGGCAAAAGTCGCCCAAGGGTAGACGCAGCGCCGACTAGCTTTGGAGCAAGCTGTCGGAAGTGCTCGTCGAAGAGTCACCTCCCGTCGAGGATCAAGCCCAGATACTTCATCTGGGCTTGAACCGGTACGAGGACCGAGTTGACAACGATTGAGACGGCAGGGACAGGACCACGACGGGGCCCGTGAAATAAGAAGGCCTCCGTCTTATCCAGGGCCACCCGTAAGCCTAGCGCCTAGTCTCTTGAAAGTTCGCCCCCCCGGGTGCTAAGGAGAAGCCTATGCCCAGCACTGGACTGTTAAAGGCTGTTGATGATTGTATAAGTATTAATTGCAGTCATACTTTTCTTCTGAAAGTAAAGAATCTCCATATTACATTCAGCTACGTTGTTCATGCATATTCATATTGACGATATTTCAGGCCTTCTTAATAGAAACTCTACATACATTCGGAATAGCGATGTTGGTACTGATAATTCTACCGCAACTAGATGTTGTCAAAGGTGCTATGTTAATGAATGCTTTATGCATGATACCAGGTGTGCTAAACGCCCTCTCTAGAGATAGAACTGATTCGCGCTATCTGTTAAAGATAGTGATAGACGTATTTGCAGTTTCTGCTCAAGCTACTGCTTTCGTACTTTGGCCGCTACTCACCCAAGACTACATTCTATGGACTATTCCTGCAGCATGCTTTTTGATATCATTGGGTTGGTGGGAAAACTTCGTGGGATCTATGCGAAAAAATACTCCAGGCAAGTATAACGGCAATTCTTCGTTGTGCTTTAGCTTTAATATCCTACTTTATAGTTTATTTTTGACACAATGATATCAAAATATTATGGAACCAAATATATGGTCATCCGGATCACATTCAAATACCTGTATTAAAATATGCAACTGTGTAGACCTTCAGATGGAGGTATCAAAGGAGCTAAACTTTAATACAAAATATAAAAATAAATAACTAGATTTTGTCTGTGGCTAAAATTGCTTAGATTTTTCTACCCCTCGGGAACAGTACATTTTTGGTGATCAAAGAAACCACTTTCTATACTCTTGACCACGAGCATAGTGTACAAAATGTCTTTTTGTTCGGTGTAGTAGTTAGGGCGCTACAACGCTAACATAAATAAACAAATATTCACATTTATAATATTACTTAGTTAACACATTAAGTGTTAGGGGGTAATTATTGTGGTTTTTTTTTTCCATCTGAATATATTTATATTATTATTTTGTTTTCTCTACCTCTTCTTTTGGGTTGGGTTTTGTTTATTTCTGTTATCAACCTCTTAACGGCAAATGCAGTCATAGCTATTACGCTAAGCATCGAGCTGTTCCTGTCATGTGTTTCTTCACTTGAATTTAAAATAATTACCTATTTAATGAGAAATTGTGTCATATTTGTCCAGTAAATTAAATCACAATAATATCTTCCAGGTTTGCGTACTTTGCAAGAACTACGTGAAGGACTTAAAAAAACTAGATATTATAGCCACCGATTCTTATCCATCTGGAAAATAATAGTTTTCATGTGCTGTATTTTGATATCTATGATGATACAGAATGACGATGCATGCACATTTTTTAGTAAAGCACGAGATGCCTTTAGTGAACGTTATTACAACATTTCCGAGGTATGCACCATTAATTTACTAGTCATGCACATCCTTTGAGTGAGAAAGCATGTATTCGCTATCGTACGAAACTAATTATATATGTTAATCGCAATCTTTTGATCTCGCATATCATGTTTGATTAATATTTATTTAATTACTTTAACATTCGTTAAGGCTTAACGAATATTAAAGTAGATATTTGATGTACTAATGCCATTCATTTGAATAGCGGTAAATTGAATTAATTGTAATAGTAATTGTGTAGAGGCTTACTTTACTGACCTCTATGGTCGATAATGTTAAACTTATAGAGGAAATAATGAATGATAAGATACCCTTTATCACCTTGAATAAAGAAAGAAACGACTAATTCACGACGTAAAGACACGTTCTCATGGGGCTATTGCCACATACGCTTGACTTAATCAGAGGCCTACTAGGATACAACCTTGAAATATGAGCACATATTTCTGTAATACCTTGTAAATTAAGAGTTTGATCAAATATATTTCAATTTCAAATCAATCGTTTCATAGGTTCGGATAGTACAGGATCCATTTGAAGGTATGTTGGGGTACGACCTAGTTGGAGACGCAGTGTCGCTGCCAGTTACATGGGGTGCTTCCTTATGGGTGGTGTTAATTCAAGTGGCAGCTGCATATGTCTGTTACAGTGCTGGAAAAATTGCTTGCAAAATCCTTATACAAAACTTCAGCTTTACATTCGCGTTAAGTCTGGTCGGGCCAGTTACAATAAACCTGCTTATTGTCTTCTGCGGTTTAAAGAATTCAGATCCGTGTGCATTTCATGGCACTATACCAGATTATTTGTTCTTTGATATTCCACCGGGTAAGTTTTATCATAACATGATTTTTTTTCTAAAGTATACCCTGCCACGCTGTGTATAAAGCTTTTTTGCGATCTATCACTGTTTGTCTTCCATGAACGGATTCTTTTATTAAATTACTGGTTACGTCTCATAAGTAATAAACTTTTAAACGTAGTATTTGTTAAACCATATCGATATTATTGAATTCTAATTAGTTATCAAGACCGAATAGTTAAATTTCTTCTTTTTAGTCTGCAAGATATTATTATCTCGGTACTAATATAGTACTTAGAATATAGCTATTTATTAAATTTTTAACAATGATTCTATTCTGTGTCAAAACATTTCTCTAGTAAAGTTAAGATCCTAGTTTTAAAGCATACGTATTTAAATAAAAACTTGTTTGTCGTGTAAAAAAAAATATTAACCATCACTTGTAATTGATTAAATACCATGTATATCTGTTCTTTTAGTGTATTTCCTAAGAGAGTACATAGCTCGTGACATGGCGTGGGTGTGGCTATTGTGGCTGTTGTCACAGGCGTGGATTACGATCCATACCTGGCAACCACGGTGTGAACGACTGGCTGCTACTGACAAACTGTTTGCTAAGCCCTGGTACACTGGAGTTTTGATTGATCAGTCTTTGCTCCTCAATAGGACTAAGGATGAAGATCATGACATTTATTTTGAGGTATTAATAGGAATCTGAGTAGATTATTAACTTGATTTAAGATTTTCGGTATTTTTAGAACCGACTTCAAAATACAATTCAATAAAATTTCATCCGGCTGTAAATTCTTGACACCACCTTTACTCGTGTCAATTTAATACGGCTGTAGCTTCCTCCGATTGTAATAAGTTAAAACTACTCGTCCGTGTGGTGACGGATTAAGAATACAAATTGTCACCACCCCAATTCATCCCGTGGGTGTCGTAAGAGCCGACTAAGGGAGCAAACTAGGCAGGACAACAGCACTGCAAAGAGAAGGAAAACTTGAATCAGACCCTATACCAACCCGTCTGACCAGCGTGGTATAGTAGGCCAAAACCTCCTTTCTAAGGAGAGGCCTATGTCCAGCAGTGGACTAGTATAGGCTGTTGATGATGATGATGATGAAAACTACTAGATTTATGTTTGTTGATTGGATGGCGAGTTGTTTATAATCAATGTTTTGTGTTTAAGGAATCGCCGCCGAATGATGATAACCGTTCTATTACCAGTATTGACAAGGTATCAAAAGACGTTAAACCCACTGACTGTGCAACAAGGTATTATTTTTCCTGATTTGATGACGGCCTACCCCTAATTTAATGTTAATTTTTAAGAAACATTGAATTCCTTATCGTGTGACTAAATATTCTGCAACAATTACATTAGTGTCTAGTCTGTATATGACAATTGGCTCTTGTTAAAACCTCGTTTCATTAATAGGTGATGGAGTTAAGAGCTTTTGTTTCATGATTTATAATGTCAATTTTGTTTTTTCTTTATAGAATTTACGTCTGTGCTACTATGTGGCACGAAACAAAAGAAGAGATTATGGAGTTCTTGAAGTCTATTATCCGTATGGATGAAGATCAAAGTGCGCGACGAGTTGCGCAAAAATATTTGGGCATCGTTGATCCTGATTATTATGAATTAGAAGGTTAGGCAATTAAGCTTTTATTGAATTTTTGTGATTGTGATTTCGTACTAGTTGTCTTTGCGGCTATAGCGTTCTTATTATATATGTTATTTTCCATGTAAAAAAATATATGTGTATCTGGAACTCCGTCTAAAATTTAGGGAGGTAAAAAAATAACTATTACACATTATTGTTTAAGATGTTATACGCCGATAGTGCTGTTTGTGGTTTCTTATAATCTATTTTTACTTTTTCTTATACCTAAATTGTAGGAGATTGAACCGCTCATTAGGCTTGAAATGCGAGTATTCATTATGTGTATTGCGTGCATTGTGTGGTAATCAAGTTATTGCTCATTTATTAGTGAAGGATATTTGGTTGAAGTCCTTAGTGACTTACATGAATGTTGTTGCTGCTGTTATTTATTTATTTGCTATCTTGTATGCTTATCTTGTTATCTTTTATATATATTTACTACGATATCTATATTTATCCCGTATGTGGAAGTATTTTTTAATTTTTTATTTGCTATTATATTTTAAGGAAAGTTTTACTAAATATATATGGTTATGGTTACTCATGGTTTCTAAATATTTTAAACTTGTTTTTTTAAACGCCGGATCTTTAGGTACAAATCATGACAACTTTGTAGTGACAATGCCGCACAAGGCAGCTGATATTATCGCTATAAATGAAACTTGGTTGCGGAGTGGTGAAGGACGTGGCGGTGGTGTGGGCTTTTTTATAAGACGTGGCTTTACTGTAAGCTCTTTTGGCCATCCAGTGGTTAAGAGTTAAAGTAAACCATAACAGAGTGATTATAGGGTGTCCCTATAATCACTCTGTTATGGTTTACTTTAACCTATAAACCGCCATGGTTCGATACGAATGTCTTTCTGAATGCTATTATGGATTCCATTGCTGCTCTATCAAATTACGACATTTTAATATTATTAGGCGATTTTAATATTGATTTAAATAATAAAACTCATTTGATTGGCTATATTAGCCGGAAAACCGACAACCGTTGGGGAAAACGAGTTCTTGAGTGGAGACCGCGTCTCGGCAAAGGTAGTGTAGGACACCCACAGGCTGGGTGGAGTGACGCTGGCAGAAGCTGGATGCGAAAAGCTCAAAATCGATGTAAGTGGCGTGCAATGGGAGAGGCATATCTCCAGCAGTAGACTGCGATAGGCTGATGATGATGAAAACTAATGATGTTATACTAATACTATAACTAATTGATGTTATATGCTCAAGCGCACATAGTATGTAGTGTTTCTGTGGACTCTGTAGGCATAATTACTGGGCACGTATTCATCATTGCTGAATTGATTTTTCGTAAGCCTAAATTTGCACCAAAAATAATTTCCTATCGACCGCTTAAAGATATTAATTTAGATCAGTTGGAAAAAGATGTTGCTGCAATTAGGTGGGATACGGGGTCTGTCAAGATTGGATGACGTTGATCTCATGGTTAATGGCTTCGTGATGCTGCCTTAAAAAGAGCTCGAGCTAGTCAAATTACAGTGCATCTACTATATTATTTATTATCTACTATAAATACTTAAAAAATCTAGTGGTACAGGCACTTCAAAGTGAGAAGAAATGCTATTTTAAATTACACATAAATTATGATTTTAAAAATCCCAGAAAACTATGGAAGAACTTAAAAAGCAATTTGATACCCTCAAAATCGTCCGCAATTCTATTGTACGTTGGTACTGCTGATCAGATCAATGATAATTTCTTAAATATTACTAGTAACCTAACCGCTTCCATATCACAGTTATCATTTTTCGAATTGATCACTTCAATAGTAGTACATATGTCCTCAGTACTGTTAACACATCTGACCATTCAGATACTCAAAGGTTTGAAATCGAAAGGAATTGATGGCCTGACATTAGATATTATAAGTTTAACAATGTTTCACACGGTGGATTTGCTTGCCACTATAGTGAATCAGTCTATTCTGACATCCAAGTTCCCTTCCTTGTGGTAAACAGCCATGGTAAGGCCAATACCAAAGAGTAACATCAGTGCGGAACCTCCGTCCTATAAGCATTTTCCCATGCCTTTTTCAAAGTTTTAGTAAAAGTCGTGGCCTCACAGCTAACGAAATATCTGGAGGTCAAAAACATCTTACCAGATAAACGATCAGGCTTTAGAAAGAATAGGGGAACAGCGACTGCGTTGCTGGATGTTACGGACGATATTTTAGCAGCACAAGGCACGCGAAAGGGATCAATTATGGTATTATTGAATTTTGCCAGGGCCTTTGATGCTCTAAATATATCATTGCTACTATCCAAGTTGTCATATTACGGCTTTGATAATTCCACAGTGCGTTGGTTTGACTCGTACTTAAATAATCGCTCTTAATACGTAGAGCTTCATTGTGAGGATGGATCATCATCTCGTTCTGCTGTGAAATCTATAACACGCGGAGTTCCTCAAAGTTTAGCCTTAGGACCACTTCTATTTATTAATTTTAGTGCTGACATAGTGAAGGTAATTAAATATTGCAAAAATGAATATTTATGCTGATGATGTTTAAATATATTTATATCTTATAAATCTAACGAAACTCTAAATGCAGTGGATAGAATTCATGGTAATCTAAATAATATGTATGGGGGCTTGGGCTTTGAATAATTCTCTGTTACTTAATTCGAACAAGACTAAATTTATGGTTCTGGGTTCCTAAGACCAAAAAAATATGTAGCTTAGACCCTCAAATACAAATTAACGGGTGCTACAAGTTCAGCACTTAGGGTTAGTTATGGACGAAGAGCTTAGGTTCGAACATTATATCTCTGACGTAGTACGGAACTGTTTTTACCGGCTCAAACTGTTATACAGAATTCGAAATTACATAAGTACTGACCTGCGTATACAATTATGTGACTCGCTTGTGCTATCCTAGTTTAATTATGTCGATGTAGTATATAGTCATAGGCTATTAGCTAAAACGTCTGGTTTAGTGCAAAGAGTGCAGAACGCGTGTGCGCGTTACTGCTTTAATATTCCAAGACGAGACCATGTTGCACCATATTTGAACGCAGCATTTGGTATTTAAATAACGGCATTTGGTATTTTAAAAATGCAGCTGCGGAGGGAGCTTCATTTAGCTACACTTTTATTTGGGCTTGTTAAATATAAAACGCCAAGGATGGGTGTGAGCAAAAAGCACAATAGCAGAGAAGGGTTTGTACACCACTACTCATACCTAGACACATAACTACAGCATTCAGAGGAGGATTCCGGTATAGTGCAACAAAATGCTGGAATAATTTGCCACCGCCACTCCGTAACCTTGTGAGTTGTAATACTTTTAAATCAAAGGTAAAGGTGTTGCTTTTAGTCGTACAAAAATCCAGTACTCTTTAATATAAAATTAGACCTCGTAAGGTTAGTAAAATTATTTAATCTGTATATATTTTGTTCTCTGCTCTTATATCTATCAACTTCCAATAAATTAGTTATTTGATATCTTTATTATATTAACAGGATGCATGTTATGTACTTACCTAATTAATGTAGGTATGTTATTATCACATGTATGTTAATAGTAATTATACTGATCCGTGAGGAATCTTTGGACTTCAGCCGAAAATCAGTGCTGTGGTCACTTTAGGGACCATAGCAAAGGCTAAGTTGTGGCCCTTTAGTCACACACAGTGATAATTTTATTCTTTTGTATTTGTTTGTTTTGTTCTTGTTTTTGCCATTCTTAAGTTTAGCAAAGTGTTTATTTTCTTTTATCTCTATATTTTTTTATTTTATTTTTGTTGTGTGTGTGTTGTGGCTAATAAACGTATTTTCTTTCTTTCTTTCTAATTAAATATTTTAATATTAACAGCCAATATTTTCATGGATGACGCTTTCGAAGTATCAGATCACAGCGTGGATGATTCCCAAGTGAATCGATTCGTAAAATTGTTAGTGGACACGGTCGACGAAGCTGCCTCCGAGGTTCACCTCACTAACATTAGGCTCAGACCACCGAAGAAGTACCCCACACCATACGGTGGGCGGCTAGAATGGACTCTTCCTGGAAAGAACAAATTAATTTGTCACCTCAAAGACAAGTCTAAGATCCGCCACAGGAAACGTTGGTCCCAGGTAATTACCTATTTGTTTATCGGATGTTGATAAACATATAAATTGATTTAAAGAAGCGATAACAACAAAAGAATCGGGTATATATTGTTATCACAAATCATGTTATTGATTGAATTACTTACTGAATTACTTTTCCACGAATAAATTCCAAGATAAGGAATTATATTCCAGTAGGTACACCATGCCGTCCTCTTACTTATATATTATTATTGTGAACAATAGACTAAAAAAGTTTTATAAGGTGTTGGCTTCGTTGGATTTCTAAAAATATTTTCATTTATTTTTTCAAATTTCTGAACGGAACTATGCAGTTAGAACAATGATTAAACATTGTGATCAGTAAAATATTATTAAAAATACCTAAATCGTAGGTGCGAGCTTGCAATAGTTTTTCTACACCTATTAAACACAAGTTATACAATTCACAATAACACGTCGTGTATTTGTTGAAAGCTTACAAATTAATTTTTAAACTTTTTGATTTTGCGTCTAAAAGTAATTAAAATAAGCCGTGTAGTATTGTGGGACATCCGATAGGAACGAAGTTCCTTATGGTATTTGACAAAATTAAATACTGCATTTATAAAATTCGGTCAATTTGTTTAAAAAACAATAATGATTTGCTTATACATTTTTATATATAAGCAAAAAGAAAGTTGATTTGCTAATGAACTACAGCTAGTTGTTTAAAGAAAAGCAGCTATTTTTTTTATAAAAAATTGAATAACTCGAATACCATTGATTGTAGAGAAACAAGACTGGTCTCATTTTATTCCTCATCAAATCCTCCCTAAAAATCTTATGCATCATGTCTCGATCTCCAATTGTTCTCGAGTTATTCAATAAAAATGGGCTATGCAAGTAGACGGGTTACTGTCTCTCTCTCTTACTCTGCCGGCAGTGAATGCAGAGAGAGAGAGAGATAACGACTAACGCTTTTTCGCAACGAACGCTTTTTCCCGTGAAATCCCTCTCGCCACATCGTCACATGAGGAACTTCGTTCCAATAAATTAAGAAATCGGAATTGCGTGATTGAAATAATATATATCAGGTACTAGGTATTGCGTATTTATCTAATATTTTTAAAGGTAGGTAGGTAGTAGTAGATCACTTCATACTTTGAAAGTAACAAACGTAGATACTGAGTTGTAAGTAATGCTAACCTAAGTATGAAGATAATTGAGTTTCCAGTTGTCTTTTTCTCGCATTTCTACGAAAGTAATATCGATTTTAGAAATATGATACCTATCCATAACCCGACACATATAGTATGTATGTTAAACAATTCAGCCATTTGTGTGATATACACTAACCGATGATCACGGGTGATGACCTTGTCCCGATTAATTCATCTGATTAAATATTACATTTTTACATACTCTGATGTTATTAAATCTCATGGGCTTTTAGGTGATGTACATGTATTATTTCCTGGGCCACCGTCTAATGGACCTGCCGATTTCGGTCGACCGTAAGGAAATGATGGCCGAGAATACTTACCTACTTGCTCTGGATGGCGACATTGATTTCAAACCACAAGCTGTTACGTTACTTATCGATCTCATGAAGAAGAATAAAAACCTAGGAGCTGCGTGCGGCCGTATTCATCCAGTGGGTTCTGGTGAGTTATCCGTACTTCTCTCTGCATACGTTGAAATTAAAATTTATTTTATTGCTATCAAAGCTCAAGCATTTCCATAAAATATAAGGTTGACCTAAAAATAATTTACTAGAAAATTATATTGTGTCTTTGCTCGCATAAAAGTAATTTTTATATTTTTTTTTGCTGTAACGCATTTTACTAACTATAATTGGGGCAAGCAAAGTAAGGTAGATGTAGGCAACGAAAGGAAAGGAATTTTGCTTATACAGATTGTTCAGGGTATAAGCAAGTTAGGATCGCATAACTGGAACTCGCTATAACCTAATAATTCGGAGCCTCTAACAGAACCTTGCAATGTTTTAGGCTTTATGTCATGGTACCAGATGTTTGAGTATGCGATTGGTCACTGGCTGCAAAAAGCGACAGAACACATGATCGGTTGCGTGCTGTGTAGCCCTGGATGCTTCTCTTTATTTCGAGCAAAGGCTTTGATGGACGATAATGTCATGAAGAAATACACATTGACTTCACACGAAGCCAGGCATTATGTGCAGTACGATCAAGGTAAGAAGTATATCTTTCTTAAAAGTTTGTAAGTAATTTAAATTTGTATTAATTATAATTAACTTAACATTAGATTTATATATGAATCGGATATGTATTGAATAATATAGTAATAAATAGACCTGCTGTTTGTGTCCTCTTTTGCACGTCATCAGTTACTGTCCAGTTAAAACCTCTATTACCTATTTATTATAGAAAATGTTTAACTAAAAACATTAGCAAGACAGTTAGTTTACGGCGGCAGCTTTTTCCTATTGTATTTTTTAAGTTTGCTTTTAGTTATTAATTTTCATAACTACCAGTCAACCATTGGGTGGTTGTAGAAATCGTGTGACGTAGGAGCACATGGGTTACATTAGTAGTAGTTTCGTTAAATGTACTCTAAAATGAATGATTTCTTTCTCCTTTTTTTCTACATCTCAAACTGAAGAGTGACCTGCCTAGCTTAGATTTACAAGACAATATAATAAAGGTACAGAATTAATTTTTGAATAGTTATTGTCTCAATTTAATTTACCTAAAATATTCCACTCGTTGAGTTGATCATAAATTTAAAAAAAGCGAAGGAATCCGATCTCATCTACTTTCATTTTCTTCAGAGTACCCACTTTAGGGCAATTTAAATTTAGAATAGCCAAGTAGACCCACCTAAAAATTAAACATTTCACAATTAAAATCTTTTGGCAATCTGTATCAAAATGGATCTACTACTTCAAACTATCATCGCCATTATTAATTTGACATAAGTTAATTTTTGGATCATATGTACCTTCTTTAATAGTTTTCCAAGGCAATATATTTATATTTTAGGAGAAGACCGATGGTTATGCACATTATTACTCCAGCGCGGCTATCGAGTTGAGTATTCGGCCGCATCTGATGCATACACCCACTGTCCGGAGAGATTTGATGAATTCTTTAATCAACGCCGTCGATGGGTACCCTCCACTATGGCTAATATCTTAGATCTACTAGCAGATGCCAAGAGAACTGTAAAGATTAATGATAATATATCTTTGTTATACATTACATATCAGGTACGTATACAATTTTCTATTTAATCTTGGTGGAAAAGTCGTTCACTAATTCCTTGAGAGTAACATGTGCTGGAGTAGTGTTACGTTGTATTTATCAAATTTTGGTCTAAAAGGTTAGGTTAAAAAATTTGGTTAGGTTGGCATTTCACTTTAGATACTACGAAAAATGGAGCCTCCCGGTCAAAAAAAGAGATGACATCGGCTGTCGCTTTTACTGACGTTAACATTTTGATAGTTACTCATCTCCGGAAACAAAATTCTCGACTAATCCTTTAAGTCTTTCTTTGTTAAACTGGGAACGTAACAACTTCCTAGATTTGTCAGAACTGTCCAACGATCCGAAAGAGAATGACCAATCTCATTTATGTTGCCGTATTTATACGACTGTGGCACCAACCGTGTTGCCCGAGCAGCTCGGATGTTTTTAGTTTAAAAATTGATGAGGAAACGTCAACAATATTCCGAAGTAGTTTATACATAGCTCAACTATTTTTTGCTCTGGAATTATCAAATTTAATCAACCAATTATTGGTGTAACAAGTCACCAACAAAATAAAAAAAGCAAATGTGCAGAATAAGAACTTTAATAATTATGTATCTATTATATATATGATACACACACAAACCCTATGTGTATGTGGGTGATATGTAAGTTAGTATAAGTTATTGCGAAAGTGCATTTTTTATTTAGGTTAATCAAGTTAATTAATCTTTACACATTAAATTAAACCTAGCGCGTCTATTTCAGACGATGTTAATGGTTGGCACAATCTTGGGTCCTGGCACGATATTCTTAATGATGATCGGTGCCATTAATGCTATCACTGAAATAAGCAACTTCAACGCACTCATTTTGAATCTTGTACCCGTTTTATTTTTCATCATTATTTGCATGACTTGCAAGGCTCAAACACAGGTAAAAAAAACACATTATTTCCTTTATTAATTTTATTTCTCAATAGCTTTTTACACTCTTATAATAATTAACCTGAATCCGAAATAAAACCTCATAGTCGTACGTAAATAAGTAAGTAATAGTAAAGTGTCAACTTATGCAACAAAGTGCGAGGTCTGGCATGCCTTAGGCCTATGTTTATCAGTAAAAGTCAATTAAATATCATTCTGTAACTACAAATAAAACTTATACCTTACGCCTCACGTTCTTTGATTCTGGATAGTAATCGACACAGAACGGTACGTTGCGTTGGGGAGTAGATGCAAGGTAAAGCAAAGAGGCGAAAGCAGAAAGCAGCATCTAACTACAGGGATGGCGTATAAGTAAGCGGTCATCTCGCCGCTTTCTACTGCGCTGAGTTTTGTGGGTTGGATCCCCACATGGACGTTCTTTGTGTCCGTTTCACGTATGTTTGTAAGGTCCCCCACGATACAGGATTTATTTAGTATGTATTAATAACTGTAGTATATTTTCAAATATTGTTTTTAATTTTCAGCTGTTCGTTGCAAACATAATAACTTGCGTTTACGCTATGGTTATGATGTTGGTTTTGATCGGCATTGTTCTACAAATTGTACAAGACGGCTGGACGGCACCTTCCAGCATATTTACAGTTGCTACATTTGGCATATTCTTTATAACAGCCGCGCTACATCCTCAGGAAATAATCTGTTTATTATACATAACTATTTATTACATAACCATCCCGAGTATGTATATGTTGCTGATAATATACTCGTTATGTAATTTGAACAATGTTTCGTGGGGAACGAGGGAGGTAGTGCAGAAAAAAACTGTTAAGGTAGGTGAAGACTTGTTAATTTTTGTAGAGTATAAGAAATGGGGTAAGTCATCAGTACCACGGATTTCCTTTCTGGGCCGCATGCGGTTTTACGCTATTCAAAGCCAAGATAACCACTCCACCGGCCGCATGATAAATAAAGGAAAAATGTTTGTGATAGTAACTTTGTTGGGAATATTTACACTTCTGAATGACTATAGTTTAGATACAGGGTAACAATCGCTAAAGCAAATGCGCCGGTTTTTTCCTTCAGCTATTCCTGTTATTTACTGCAAGCTTCCTAACGAATAAAATGTTATAGAGCTAGATAGATTTTGGTGACGTTGTATAGGTAAAATGACATCTGCATCCTCGTGTTATACATTCTTGCCAACATGCGACACACGGTTACATCTTAAATACAAAGATAAAATAATTTCATCATTTCATCTTTACGAGAAGTAACGATATACTAATACAGTACTATTTACACACAGATTAGTTTAAAATAGGTTGAACTGAAAGAAGTACAAACATAATAGGTACTTACTACAATTAGAATAGAATCTTAATTTCTTAGTCAAGATTTGTGCGTAATTATTATGATAACGATCATTTTTATTTTCATTAATTATTGTTTGTAAATACTTGTTCAAGTATCAAACTGGCGTTTAATAATAATAATAAATAATAATAACCTCACTTATCTTACCTAATAAACGATTACTTCGATAGGAATTAGAAATGGAACGCAAAGAAGCAGAAGAAGCCAAGAAGAAAATGGACAATCACAGTTTACTGAAGTGGTTTGGCAAGTCGGAGGAGAAGAGCGGCTCTTTTGAGATGGGCGTATCGGGTCTTTTCAAATGTATGTGTTGTATGAATCCTAAGGACCACAAGGAAGACCTACATTTACTTCAAATTGCCAACGCAATCGAAAAGGTTGAAAAGAGATTGGAAGCACTGTAAGTTATTTTTTATGTATGTAAAATTAATGCAGATTTTAACTCGAAATTAGAATGATCGAAACTCACAGTTCTGAAGGTTTGCACATAAAACAACGTCTTTCGTATGCTTCATAGTGTTTGAACCCTAAGCATTGGTGGCATTCAAACCCTAATGGGCCTGACAATATATTTAGACATAAATTTACTCGTGAAACATTGAATAAAAACACGTATTGTTTTTATCTTAGCGATGTATTTTATCGTAGATTCATAAATAATGTGTTTGTTTATGACCCTACAAAAGTACATAATACCTGTTACTTTTTGCACATTTAAGGAATATGTCCTGTTAATCTTCTTATAATTAAAAGGAACATGTGAATTTTAATTGTAAGAAATTTTATTGTTATTACATTTTTCTTTTATACGCTAATTGTAAAAAAAAAACTATAGAACATGAAAAATATATATCACTAGCTGCTGCTTTACGTCTTATACCACAATTAACCGAATAAGTGGTTGAGTTATATAATTTATAGTAAACTAATGTAAAAGTAAATTAATTCGACGCAATCCGGTACCAATTTGGCGGATTTACTTCATGATTAACATTACATGAATTTTAATTTAATTGCAAATAAAAGACAGATTTGAAACAGCAATTAAGAGAAAAAAAAAGATTTATAATAATTGAAATTATGTAATTAGTACTGTACGTATTTAGTGGGGCTCCTGAAATGGTGGAACCAATGACTCGTCGGCGATCATCGGTGATGAGTCGAAAGAAGTCCGTGGACCCCCTCACCATGTTGCCGGAGTATATTGACAGTGATGACTCTACAGATATACCAAGGGTAAATATTTTTCATGGGCGAATACTATTTGAATTCCAAATAATTATCAAAAATTGTTTTTAATATCTAGTTTTTTTTTATTATAATATTATTCGGCGCCGACTTCAAACAGTCCAGAAGGTATCTATTGCTATTATAATGTCACTTGTTAAATTGAGGGTCGCATTTATTTTAGTTTTTTCAATTATTTGTAATTTTCTTTTCACTTTTTTACTAATCTTTAAAGTCACTTCAATTCAAAAGATGTAAAATTTTAAGCCGAAAATATATATTGTTTTCGACGTTACCTACCACCACTAGGAGTGGCTTTTTTTTTACTTTCTTGTGCAGATATCTCTGTAACCCAAAACAATAACCTAGCAAATATCTTGAAGGAATAAATAAGTTAATTACATGAATAAGTTATTGAAAGAGTTATCCTCTAACTCCTAAAGGTCAAGGCCCTTAACATCAACATAAGATAACGACTACGAAACGCTGATACCTGTATAGCTAGAGAAATAAGCTAAAACACGTTATCCCGTTATCCTTAGAGAAATCGAGGGTTCCCTTCGATTCGTCTAGGATCTTATCAGATCCTGATTTGGTGATAATGAGAGGATACAATTGACGGAGATATTGCGTACAAACATACACACACAATAAAAAAAAAACAGTTGAATTGACAACCATGTCTTTTGTGCTTTCGATAATCTAATCTTTCGATAAAATAATGAAATCGATAATAAAAAATATCAAGGTATTAATTCCTAAATAGTTTTTTTTTGATAATATTCAAACAGGAAGAAAGAGACGATTTGATAAATCCATACTGGATAGAAGATCCGGACCTTAGCAAAGGAGAAGTGGATTTTTTGACGACTGCTGAAACAGAATTCTGGAAAGATCTTATTGACCTCTATCTGCGGCCCATTGATGAGAACAAAGAGGAACTGGTATGTATTTAAAAAAATATGATTCTTATCTTTGTGACTTATTATTATTCTTTGATTTAATTTTCATTATTTAAATTTTTCGTTCATTAGAACACGCTTCTTTTAATTTTAAAATTAAAGGAATTAATATAAAAAATGGTACCGCATAGTAAACATTAAATTTAGGACGGCCAAGTTGATAATATGTCTTCGTAATACATGTCACAACCGCAACCTATACTATTAAAGGGGTTTTATATGGGGCTTTGGTATTTAAAAAAAAACATCATAGGATAACTCAGTTGTCCGCCTGTCTGTCTATTTGTATGACAATTTGTTTACATTAAAATATTTATAATCATATTTAAACTTTAAGTAATAGGTACATAAGTAGATTGAATAGTGTTAGGCTGATGCAAAGATCATAAGAAGTAAGTGCCTATAAACGAAGTCCGTATTAAGTTTAGTTAGTGACCATTTTATCACATTAATAAATGAGTAAAATAAAATAGTTTTATTTTCGTTCACTTGTAGGCACGCATCAAAACCGATTTGAAGAACTTACGCGATACAACTGTATTCTCATTTGTAATGCTGAATGCTCTGTTTGTGATGGTCATCTTCCTATTGCAAATGAACCAGGACCAACTACATTTCAGATGGCCTTTTGGACAAGACGTTAGCCTCTCTTTTGACAATAATGCGAATTTGGTAAGTTTTAACTGACACACAGCTACTATGTTTTTTAGGATTTTAGTTATCATTAGACTGAGAAAGCTTTGGTGGTAAACTCCGTAGGGCCTTGGTAAACCCATATATATATATATATATATATATATTAATATAATTTGGGCCTATAAAAAGAGCTCCCAGAATGTTATAACGAAAAATCGCTCAATTTAAACAAACAAACACACATTTAAAGACCTAGATACCGTTGTTATATCAGAAGAATTAAAAATTAGGGTTTATGTATATATATATATATATATATATATATATATATTTATTCGCTATAGGTTTTAAATAAATAATAAACATACTTGCATTTTTAAATGTGAATATAAAGATATAAATACCCAGATTATTTTAAAATGAATTCATTTGCATGGAACGAGAAACCAAAGTCACATTAGACTGCATAATACTTTTATCAAAGTCATAATCTGAGTCAGAACATTTATATAACTACTTCAGTTGCAGTAGTATTAAGTTTAGTATTAATAATTACTATATTATTTTCTTAAAGATAACTATAAACCAAGAGTATCTGACGCTGGAACCCATTGGCTCAGTGTTCCTTATATTCTTCGGGTCTGTGATGTTAATTCAGTTTACGGCGATGTTATTCCATCGGCTTGGTACGCTCACGCATCTACTTTCCACAACAACTCTGAACTGGTACTTCAGCAAAGGTGTAAGTTCTAAAATTTCTTTATATAATAAACATTTTAAGAGAAATACCTATAGAAAAAGATGCTGAGTATAGGTACGCGGTCCTGGCGTTTTCGAACTACTGTAATTTGAGTCCAGCTTCTCATACGAGAGTTACAATATCCTCACTCCCTCGCCTCGTAAGTTTTCCTTATCCTATTTGAATTTGAAAACGAATTTTAATCACCAGGAGACCGGACAGGTAGACCGTCAAGCAGGCGGCCAGCCATGAAAGAAATTGTGCCGATCTAACCAAAATGTAGAAACGCGCACTAAAACGATGATGAATACTTCTTACTGTTGTTGGTTATCGGCTGTCAACCACGTTTTATTTCTTTATAATTATTTCAGCATGGTTGTTTTTTTTTTCGGAACTAGTGGTTTCCATAAGCGATAGAAACTGTTCTATGTTCGTGACGTACCCATCGTAGAAGAGTAGTATTGTTTGCATATCTCAGATTTGATATCGACCGACCTCCAATTGATACACCCTTACTAAATTTCAAAGTTTCGTATTCCAAGATATATAATTTTTATAATAATTATATATTTATTTTTATTAAAAACAACTGTCATATAATTATTTATATCAAAATGAACGCGACCAAGCAATGATCGCAGGCTTCAAAATTAGATCAAGGGGTACTATTTATTCAAAGTACCCTTATATTGATTTTAAATAAGAGAAAGATTTATGCCAATTGATGCTTAAATAGTTGTCAAGTCTTAAATTAGAGGTACTAAGTTACTTTATTTATTTATTTAAAACTTAACGCACATGTTGTACAAAGGCGGACTTAATGCATTCTCTCTCAGTCAACCTTCAGGTGATGTAGAAATATGATGCGGTACGTGCAAAATATAATATAAAATTTAACATAATTGAAGTCCAGAGACATACACAATATATAAATACACATACATAAGTAAACATATATACATAAATTTAATAAAATATATAAATACTCAGTCGGGTACTAGCGTTGTGACCGTTCTGCCAATTCACTCCGAAGGAGATCGCGCGCTCTAACAATTTTAAAATTAAAATCTAAATTTTAAAAGATAATATTTATTTTCAATACACCAGTATATAATCCGATGGGGTGATAATCCTTTATTTCGATAAAGTTCGCCACTAAAAGCCATCTTAAAATCATAACTGATCAAAATTTGATTTATCTCCGCAGGCAGATGAGATGTCAGAAGACGCCCTTATCCAGAAATATGCAGTTGAAATAGCCAAGGACTTGCAGCGGCTGAATACAGACGATTTGGACCGGCAAGGAATAAAAGATGATCACGTATCGCGCAGGAAGACGATTTTCAACTTGGAGAAAGCTCGGGATGTCAAACAAAATGTAGTGAATCTCGATGCAAATTTCAAGCGAAGGCTCACTATTTTGCAGAATAACAGTAACTCAGGTAATTTATATAATTTTGGCTCTAGGATAAGTTTAAACGTCGATTGATTTTACATAAATTATAAAAAGTTTACAAATATTATAATAGGTCGTTGAATATTATTCGATAAAGCTACAAAACATGGAGATAGATATTGATATCTACCAAGATATCAATATTTATCTCCGTTTACTAAACTAGATAATTTTGTTTTTTATTCTGTACAGCTACCCAACTCCAGAAAAATATATTATTTTAATTATTTTCTTATAATTGAAGTGAAATATTAGTGACCCTTCACACTAGCGTCTTTTGAGCGTCATTGTAATCGACTTTTCGCTCGTGCAGCATCGATGTAGCGCTTGTGATGTCAACACTGAACAATAGCCGAACGCAGGATTATGCAGCGCTGACGTCGCGTTGCCCCCTTTGGGTACAAGCTAGAGGAGCGGAGCGAGGGGTTGCGTTGTACGTTGTACTTGTTCGAAAACAAAGCTGCACTGTTTGCGTAAACTTGACGCTCGGCAGCCGCTCAGTGCTGGCAAGACGACGATACTTTCGAAAGGCGCTAGTTAGGAGGGTTCGGTTATGTGTCGGATCAAAATAACACGAGAAGTCAATGTCACATTGCTATTTAAGAATGATATCTATCTTTTACCTTCTCAATCTTAAGTTTGACAATAATCTTATTAACAAATTGGAAACATATGAACCTCCATATGCTTCCAATTTGATAAGATACAGTGATTATAGTAAAATAAATAAGGGAAGAGTGGAATTTTTGGTTAAGAACGTATTTCTAAAACTACTAGTCGGATTTGAAAAAATGATTCGAAGTTTAATAGCTCAATTTTTGAGGAATACTATTTGACATTTCGCTGTATTGATGCAGCGAGTAGTGACTATCGAGGTCTAGTATATTAATTTGTGGACCGAGTAGTGCTATACGTCCACCGATACCCACGAACGCTTGCGCAGAGGTGATCTCCCGGCTGCCGTCGCTGGGCGCGGACCCGGCGATGCGGCGCGCGACGCTCCGCGCGCTGCAGACGCGCCACGACTCCGTCAGCGCTGAGCGGCGCCGCTCGCAGGCGCAGCCACGGAATTCTACCAACGACTTCCTTTTCAATGCTGACCATATTTCGGTAACACGTTTGTTTACTTCTTTTTTATACTTTTTTACTAATTTATCGAATTTAGTTTAAATAGTGTCTCGGACTCTCCAGCAATAGTCGATTCGAGTTTCAGGCATGTGGCTCCGACTCTTTTGAGCTATATATCCCCCATCTATCTTTGTATGTACCCTCTCCTATCCTTCTCTAATAAAAGGAAAAGTAGATCCTTTCCTTTCAATATGACCGGTTGACATCAAAAGCCTCCGTCAGTAGGGCTAAACTTTAATTGACACATTTGGGCATTTAATACGCTTTTGCCTAACCATTCGAGATGTAGGTGTGTACGAACATATGTGAGTTACCTAATTTACCTTACTCCTTCCTCAAAGACCGACAACGCGCTTATGACTCCTGAGTTGTAGGGGTTCATTTGTCACTGTCTGCTGGTTTACCGCCTCTTCCATAACTTTTTTTTGTCTAATGTTTTTTTATTATTTATTAAACTTACTAATTTGAAATTGAAGTTAGTGTACATCACGTAAATCTGAAAGGCTCTTCCATCAGGTTTATTCTACAAGGTGTATGCAAACTCCCCCTAATATTTAAGGTAATTAATATGCATTATACATTAGTAAAATATATTTAACCTTATGTAAAGTGCCCTAAATAATGCTACTTCCTCAATGAAAGGAAAGCGAATGTAACTTAATTACACATCTATCTATTATATTATGTTCATTGCTAGTAGTTGGTCTTAAAGATATACATAATGTTGTAAACATTGTCTAAACATTTATAAATGTTGGTAGATGTATCTTTTGATGAAGCCTGTTTTTGATACAAATAATGACATTAAGTAATATTTATATATAATTAATTTATAATACTAATTAGTGTTAATAAATTTTATTCAGCTCACCGATCTGGGTGGGCGCGCCTCCACCTCAGGAGCCTACCTTAACCGCGGCTATGAGCCCGCATTCGACAGCGACGAGGACGGCCCGATGCCACGAAGGAGTACCGTGCGCTTCAGAGAACAATTTGCCTGAAACGCATATAATGCATTTATTATACCACTGTGTTATTTATATCAGATATAAAAATGTTTTTTTTAAGCAAATGTTCAGTGTTTTACTTTGTAGGAGCTTTACACGCTAATTTCGTTGAAGTACGTTTTTTAATTTATTTAATAGGTAGGTAGGATTCGTATTATAATACTCACTTTATAAACATTTATGTAGATATTTTAAACGGAATAACTTAAAAATATTATTTCGGAATCTATTTCGTTCCAGTATGAGTTTTTAGGTTGCCTTAATTTATAAGGCCGTTGCAAATCATGACAACATCGATGTGAACTGCAAAACTGAAAAAAGAAGATAATAAAAATAAACGCCAATTGTGACACTCCTTTAGTCTACCAAATGGAATCTATCGTCAAAGATTGTCACTATCGAAACAAGTAATTTAACTGAAATTGCGTTTTTTTTAAATATCGGAAAGTGAATAGAAAATACAGCCTTCAGTTAGGGTTGTCGCTCGTGAGTCAGTCCGTGTTGGCGCGCGGCGGCAGTGAGCGGCGCGGCCCCGGACACTTCGCACGCGCACCATGCGCGCACGCAACTTCTCGCGAGTGCACTACACGCTTAACCTACACGTTGTGAAGTGATAAGTACATTATAAGGATTACACTTCAAAAAAAACCCCTTAGGATACTTAATCGGTGAGTTCAACCCTTGTTTACATATTAAGGAGGTGACGACCTTTCGCAGCTTCCGAGGCTGTTTATTGTCCGTGATCAACTGCGAAAGTACGAACTGGTAACTATTAGTATCCAAAACACCAAATTAAATTCTTGAAGCTTCATATTATTAAGAGAAATATATCAAATTTTATTAATTTTTGTCAAGAATGTTTTCTTTGAAACCGAACGTGTGACTGTGCACTGGTTTCTCTTTCGAAAGTTTCGCAATCGCGTTTATGTAAAATATATTCCACGTGTTATAAAGCCTAATAAAATTCTTCATAATGTATTATTTATTCAAAAAATTTGACTTAACCGAGTTCGCTATAACTTGTCAGCGACGTAAACAAAAGTGAATGTGGGCGGCCTATACCGTATGGGATAGAGAATGGGAAACATTATACGTCATTTCCTTCAGAAGGTATATTGGTTGACCTCTAAGCACCTCATGTAATTATACGATGATATCTAAACTTAATGTGTAATTATTATATAATTATAATAGTTTTAATCATTGAGTAACTTTAGTAAAAACGTCTCTATTTAAGTTAAATATGTTACAAATTTCGTTACACAATCAAATGCATTACTTAAAAACTAATATCTGTAAGCGTGATATCAATGTTAATAGTTTAAGCAATTAGTTGTAAACATTATTTATAGCAAAGATATATAACATTAATTCAATGAATGATAGCATAAGTAGCATGTCAAACAGCTGTTGGGACCTCGCTCACATCCGGTATGAGAGGGTCGTTCTCACTGGAACAAGAACAATTTGACGATTTCCGCAACACTGTTAGCAAAGTGCAATTAACTAATTAATAATAATCTTTGCTTGCGCAGTCGCCGCCCCGCGTGTAATACAAAGCGTAATTAAAGGTACATTCAAGGAATTTTCATTTTTAAATACATTTGCATGTTACTATGCGTTCATGTACATATGTAGGTGCGTATTACATCAGACCGAGTAATGAAGAATACTATCTGTCGTTAGGTAGTAAGCTAGGTAGTAAGAATCTGTGGTATTTCATTGCTGATTGTTGCACGTTGTTTCACGCTAATGATCACTGTTACGCTCCTATTGGGTTTACTATGATATAACATTGCCTATAAATTTCAATTACAATGAATATTCTATTAAAAGGACTTGTGACTCTTTAGTTGCAGGTGCCCACGGGCGGTAGTTACTTACCTCCGGTACTTACTTCCTTATACTATAAAAAAGTAAATCCTTTTGAAAAAAAGTTGTACCAACTTCAAACAATACGAAACGAAAATATCATCGATGTATAAAATGTTTAGATTTTAGTTGCTTTTTAAAAACCGCTTGACTGATTTTAATAAAATTTAAATGGGACCATCTGGGAAGTATACCCTTTAAAACAATAAAATACTTTTCCAAATCGGTTCAGGCGTCTTCGAGTAATCGGTGAACATACAAAAAAAAGAAAACAATGAGGTCTGAACCCACTATTTCTAAATATCAGCTGTAAAGCTTCATACATTATAGTACTACCGCTGTATAAATAAACTATGTCACCATTATGTTACATATGTATAACCTTAACTTCTGTGTTGGTACTATTTGAGTCTTTTATATAGCATTTCTGTAACAAAACGTTTACCGTTTTGAGCACATAAAATATAAAATTAAAAGTTATCCATGTGATATGACACACAAGAAAAGCGAATTAAGATAAAACAAATTAAATCACAGATAACTTTTTAAAACATATATTATTTTAAAATAAATAAGTGCTATTTGTAATATACAAAAACGTAGGTGACGTATACACTCACGCGTTAACATACATTGCATGTTTCTTTAGCATGTGTTGTTGTATTAACATTCAAATAATTCATTGGAATGTTAAATGAAACTACGTAACAACTTTCGTGTAAGGTCCTTGAGCTGAGTTCCGTGTTGCAACTTAGTTTATAAGTATTTCCAAAATTCACGACATGTTAGAGGTATAGAAGTGATTAGTTAACTGTTATAATGCATTTTTTGTATGTGAATTTTATAACTAAATAGCATACTCGTATAATAAGTTAGATTAGTTACAAAAAACGTATGACGATCGCGAGGTCAATCCTAAACAGAAGCCAATGGAGATTAATAACCCACTTTAAGTTTATTCCACGGAATGATGACCAGGACCTTTAGTCATGAGACTCGTTGTCTTCATGAGTCAGGAGTTAGGGTGTATCTTTCGTTACATTTTCATTTAAAATCTTTCAGAAAGTCCAAGGGTAGTTTTAGAAATTCAAAACCATTTTAATATTTTTGTTACCTAATTCTGTGTGTGTTCAACTTTACTTATTTTTTGTCTATTTCTTTTCCCTAATTGAATTGATTCATAAAGCATTAATGTTAATGGTAAGGTTAATGATATTTAATGCTCTCTCCACGGCCATAATTTAATAATACCAGTTTACGGGCTTGTTCCTAGCGAATGATGTCATAGAACTTGTGTTCATTTCGTGTTTTGGTGTAAGTATTTTATTTAGCCTTGTTTGAAATTATATGGAAACACAATATTTTTAATACTGAACATTTCTAACTGTAACTTAAAGCAATCTTTGAACTTACAGTTGCTTTAAGTAGCAAGTTACAATAGATGTGGGTAAGTGGTAATGTTTAAAACACTTGGAGATGCTTATTATATATATGTACGGGCATTAACGCGATCACGTAGCAGGTATTACCTACCTTTGAAATGGTTGACGTTTCGACCAGGTTGCACTGACATAGAAACACCTAGGCACTGGACTAGAAAATTAAAATATTCGTGAAACTTAGAAAGTTTGAATAAGCAGATCTTTAAAATAAATTCAAAAATTATAACATTGACTTAAAAATATTTGATCTGAAAAGAATAAAGGTACGCGATGTAATCGAACTAATAAAAAAATATGTTAAAGTTTTAAATGGCTCTAATCTTTCAAATAATATTATATTTTCTTATTCATTTAGAAAAGGAGTCAAACCTGCGCTAACTTATTTCCTACAAAAGAACATAAGTATGTATTTTAAAAAATAAGTTAACGACATTCTATTATGTGTAAAATTGTTATTAGTTCTGTAAATGCCTAAGATTTATGGTATAGAAAAGATAAAAGTGCTTTGTGGTCTCGTTATCTAAGAATGTATTAATTTTTGCATGCTTTGTAAGATTAGAGTTGCTATGCGTGGGTTGGGCAAATTTTAAAATCATTCTTAATAATTGGAGTTGAAATCTAGACAACTTCATCATAGTTGATAATTAATAGATTTTGTGTAAAAACTACAGTACATTAACCATTTTACACGCAAAAAGATATACCTGTCATTTTAATCACTACATACACAGTCCTTATTAAGTGTTGGCTATTTTATTTACCATTTCATTAAAGAAAGGCCTGGATTTTTATACGACTGACAATATTTTAAGATTCATGTATATGTGTGTATCTTTATACCATCATAACTTCTAAATACTTAAATAAATATTGCACCGTTTAAAATTAATACCGTCAAACAGACCCCTAAATTATTCTGAATCATGTGGCACTTACGCTTTGTTTTTTTTAAATAAAAATAATCAATATGGCAGCTGCATGTGCATAACATTCTTGGTCACGGAAATTGTTTTTTTTTGAAATAAGTAATTTTTATAATATTTCTGTAACGTATTTTTAATAATAAAAAAAAGGTTTAAGTTTTCATTGGGCCTTGACAAGCGTCAGTAAGCAATGCCGGTAGGGGAAACTAACAAAAAGTAGCTTTGAATATTTTTTGAACTAAAAATATGGCTATATATAAGTATACCTGCTACAATTCCGCCTACCTTATTGCTTATATAGAAGTGTGTTAGTTATTCTTCTATGATTTCAAGGAAGTGCGAAAACAAGTTCACAACCACAAGTACATTAGTAGGTTTTAGCATAAATAATAAAAATATCGTGTTTGGAATATTAATTACAAACGAAATAACTTTGGATCTAAATAGATAGCAAATCTTGTGAGTTACTGCTTGTTAGTCGAGGTCGCACAATAAATATATGTTCCATTTACATTTATACTTAACATTTTTATTATTAGTATGAATGTAGTATGCAATTAGTAGCATAGTGGATAAAATTCAAAATGTTCATTCATATATTACATTGTGTCTAGTTTATTTTTATATGATGACTGTTGTTATCATATATATGTGTTAATAATTAAATAGTGATTGCTAATAGTAACAATTTTACTTGTTACTACGAGTACTGTTACAAATGTGAAAGTTTTGATTTGTTTGTTAAGCCAAAACGACT